GACCACAATGGATAATGAGGCCCATGAGCCACAATGCTCACCTGATCAAACTTCGCCTTGCTGTTGATTGTTTATAACTCTTTTCTCTCTTCACTCACATGAAATTTTTATTTACCGCATACTGTGAATAATTTGAAGAGAAAATACTTGAATCCACACAACTTTGGAATGCTTGTACATCAACATGAATTAATATGTGTTCCTGCTACTACAGAAACGATTTTTTTTGTTGTTGATTTCTTAAATACATGTATTCCTATTAGAAAGTTTGATTCCTTCTTTTGGCCACATCCTACCCTCCAGGGCGCCATGATTTTAATAAACTTCAATCTACACTTTCTGAGGATGCTTGGTTAGTAATAGGACTGATCATTGACTTGCCAATCTTCAAAAGATTTTAAAAGATTTTTACAATATATCCCTATGGAAAACTTTGATCCTCTACAGTGGTCCCACCATACCCTGGTCATGATCTAAACAAAATTGAATCTGCACTACCTGAGGATACTTGCATTATGGTACATGTGTAACAATCCTGGCCCTGCTGTTTTTGAGAAAAAGATTTTAAGGTTTTCTAAGATTTTAGATTTTTTCTGTTTTCTTTTGATGCCTTTTTCTGGTCCCACCATACAACCAGGTACCATGATTTTAACAAAATTAAATCTGCACTACCTGATGATACCAGAGTATTTATATCAATCATTTGTGGTGTAACATTTCTAAAGAAGATGATTTTTTTAAAAGTTTTATTTATATTCCTCTATAAAGTTTGATCCATTATTGTGGTCCCGTCCAACTCACGGAGGCCATGATTCAAATAAAATTTATTCTAAACTACCTGAGAATGCTGGCACATAAATAGCAATAATCATAGCATAGTTGTTATTAAGATTTTTTTTTTAATCCGTACATATTCCTTTATAAAATTTGATCTCCTATTATGGTCCACCTTATCTCCGGGGGTTATGATATGAACAAACTTGAATCTACACTACTTGAGGATGTTTGCATATCAGTATGTCAAATTGTAGCCCTGCTTTTCTTGAGAAAAAGATTTTAAAGATATTTTTCATATAATCCTTTATTAAATCTTGACCTCTTTTGCGGCCCCATCCCATTCCGGGGGGTGGGGGTATTATTTGAATAAACTACACTTTATAAGGAAGTATTCAGCTAAGATTTGATTATGCTGACCAGGTGGTCCTTGAGAGGAAGATTCTTTTATATAATGCCATAAAGTTTTTACTCTCTCTCTCCTTGAAAGAGGATGATGCACTTCGAATGAAGCTTGAATCCAAAGCTGCTTCGTGGCAAGTTTGGATAAAATTGGCCTAGTGGTTCTGGAGAAGAAAATGAAAATGATGTATATAATGTAAACCTAATGTAGTTAACATGTATCTGCTAAATTGAAATGGTTTGTTTACTATATGCTAAGATTCATTTACAACTGTACAGAGGTATATACATGTACCACAGGCACTTGTTTCTGTGAGGGCGTTCATTTTTACGCCACGGTATAAAAAAAATTGAATTTACCAGGTGGCAGTAAATACAAAACTTATATTAGGTATAAATATATATCTCCCTACTTTTGGATTGCTCCACTGTTCATACAATAATTTCCAGATACCGAACAAAGACCTTTTAATTCCAAAAATACAATAAAAGAGAGTATAAAAATGACTTTAGATCACTTTAAAAAACGCATCCTAAAATCATGTTTCGTTAGCTCTTTAGCTCACCTTAGCAGAAGGTTCAAGTGAGCTTTTCAGATAAAAAATTGTCCCCAGTCTGTCGTCATCGTTGTAAACTTTTCATTTTCATTTTCTTCTCCAGAACCACTAGGCCAATTTTATCCAAACTAAAAAAAAAAATATTGTCTTTCTGTTTGGACTGAATTTAATGTGCATTTCTTATGCCTTGATTTCCATAACAATTTGTACCACCTGTACAAGTTTATTAAGTATCTAATTGACCTTGTATCTCATGGAGAAGATGGATCTTATAGACTTAGGGCCTGTTGTCCCATCCAATTTTGCTGAATAAAAATATCGATTAAATTAAATTTTCTTCGATCCTGACCGATGGTCAATAATTCTCAATGTCTTAGACCAATGAAAAGAAAGCATGTTTTCTTGTAGAGGTAGCTCAGTTCTTATCATTAGATCAATGAAATTTACCCTGGATTTGTACATATTCTCTGTTTCTTTTAATTTTCTTTCGGAAGTTGACAGTTTATTTAATACTAGTCTTAAGGTCTTTACCTCTTCAAAAAGACCGATAATTCGTACATGTAAGTCTTACTCTCTGGTCCTATATAAAATCCATTATTTTGTGACAAATTTCCCCGGAATAAAGTGGATAATTATGGTTGGGGGGGGGGATTTCATGCTAGCTCTTTTAAGACAAGAGAGCTTAATAGAAGTGTTGTTAATAATTTAAAACAATTTTTAAAATGGCTACGGAATTTTGCATGGACTTCTATATTTCTTAACAATATATTCATAAATATATGTGTCAGTGGTTTTATAAACTTATGTCAACATAGATCTTGAAGTTAACACATGTCTTATTTAGGTTAAAAAATCGATTGTTTTAGCGTGAGGTACTTTAAACTTTTCGACCTGACAGAGGAAAAAAACAATAGACCTAGCTCTATAAATATGTTAAAGAATTGTATCGGGTTTTATTGAAGAATTCACGGGTTTCTTTTATTTGATATTCCTCCAGGGCAATCTACTGTAAGGGAAGCAATTGACAGGTATCTCTCTCTCTCTCTCTCTCTCTCTCTCTCTCTCTCTCTCTCTCATGAACTATTACCTGTTTTCCATATTTTCATTATTTTGTAATCACTATAAAGATATTCATTTTGGTGACATTTATTAGATATGAGGTACATGTATTGTGTATATATTATAATGTACATAATCGTGAGCGTGTCGTGCTGGAATTTTTTAAAGATTGGCCGTTATGTTGACAATGATGACTACTATAAGTTCACCTTACCTCAGTCCTTGTTCATTTTTTAAAAAAGAATTAATCATCTACAAAATATCGACTACTGGACTATCGAAAACCAATATCCTGTTTGAAATAATGATGAACATGACTGACTAAACATTGTGATTCAGAAACATTCATTTTTAAGTTAACACAGCAGGTCGGATTCAGCCCCCCCCCCCCCCTCCAAAAAGAAAAGACTTCAGATTTTCACTGTCATGCATTAATGTAATAATCAAGGTAAATATGTGCTTGAATGAGGTTCTTTAAATTGCTTAGGGGACTTTAAGAGCTTAGGGGTCTTAAAATCCCCCCTGGCCTCCAACAGGACTCTATCTTGACTCGCTGGGGACCTCTGCGGTACCGATGGCCCTTGCTATGTAATCTGGTAATTGTCCCCCCTCTAACACAATATCCTGGATCGCGCCGTCATAGGTTGTTTTCATTCATTTATAGCGGCTTGCACATCTAAAAACAAAGTATATCAGGTATTTAATGCAATCGCTCTAATGAATACCTTAACTTTGGTTTACAAGGTTATTCCAAGTCACACACACATACACTCGCATATACACAAACAATACAAACATATATGTGAATGAAATCAGACTATCTGATTGAGACTATTGGCTTTTTATTATGGTGATTTATGTCTCAGAAAATTTTAGATTAAATGTCAAGTTTAATTATTTCACCTTGAACTTTTTCTTTGTTTCATGTTTACATTTTATTAAAATAAAGACTGTAATAGTGTGTAACAGACACTGCAGAACAGCTTGTGTAGTTTACAGACCCCCCCCCCCCTCCAAAACGGACTGAGGAAAGAACAAAAAATACAAACACATAATTTCAATGACCACAAAAACATAATAAATACATTAGATTCGTAATCAACAGTGGTTTTTTGCGACAAATATAAATAAATATGCAATATTAAGGATCCGATACGTAACAAAAAAGTTTATCTTTGCAAAACGACCAATGCATAAAACAAGAACCACTTCACAAGTGATTCAATAAGGACAACAAATTATATTCTTAATTTGCCGTAACCCCCTCGAGGAAAGACAGGCGATTGTTAATATTCATATTCTTTATTAGTTTTTTCTTTCTAGTACTTTTTGTCAATATATATCTCATAATATGAGTATTTGTTAATTTCGAAATTGAAAAATAGGTATCAGTGTGTGTGTAATTTGTACCTCGTCTAAAAGTATCGACGGCAAGTGTTCACTTTTATATCATTTGTAAATTTCTTAACCAATAAAAATATTAATGTATATACTGTGTCATTTATATATTGAAATTTGCTGGATCGGATCTAGCAAGAGTAAATGGCTGAGAATATAATGAATTTTACTGATCGTATGCTCTCGTCATTTTCCCAACAACAGCTGGATAAGTAAAAAAAAAAAAAAAAAGGAACCATGCATAAGATTTAATAATTGAGAAAGTTTATTCAACATTTTATATATAAGATAAAATTTGGGATTTCTTGAAAAATGACTAAGATATTTATCTTTTAAAATGATTCGTATACCTCACCGATTATTCGATATTAAACAAAATCTAATGCGGAGGGGGGGGGGTTGCCTTGCAGCTTCATTAGACATCATCTCCAAACCTATGAGCAAGTATTATTGGTAAATCTGTCGCTCATTTGATTAATGCTAGCATCAATAACGGTATCTTCCCATCAAGATTTCAACAAACTATAAAGTCTCCCCCGTGTATGAAGGACAGACCCTGGAAACTACCCTTCCATTATCCAAACATAGCAAACCAAATATTCACTCACAGAAGAATCTGAGACAATGTCATTTCATTTCCCTAAATACTTGTACAATTGTCTCGAGAGTATGGAATACTATACATAAAGAATAGGTAAATAAAATATTCAGCGTAGAATGTAAATTTAATTCTGGTTTAAACCAGATTAAAACAGTGAACTTCCTTTGAATTAATTAAACATAATGGATAATAATAATGAAAATCTTTCTCCTAATTTAATATACATTCATGTATACAGTAATAATAATTCTTTTATTTCCTTAGGTGAAATGCGCGACCAATATGAAGACTTCACTGACATGGCGTGACTTATATCTGTCTGGCGATTGCCGCGGGCGGCCACATCCATCACTTGAAGACAAGGGTTTTTTACAGAGTCCCAGATTGCCTCTCAGTGGGGGAAAATAAACTACCAGGGCAAGGATAGGGGGACAGGCTGTATTTATGAGGGATGCTTAAGTGACTGACTTATCTATTCCCCGTTTTAGGGACAATCTTCCTAAATAAGGATTTATTTTGAATTGTTAACTACAGAGTTCTGGTTTTAGTCACCGGAATGACGAATATTCTGGGTGAACAACGGACTCACAATACATCTTAAAGGTAATTCTAGAACTTCGTCTTAATAATATTTTTTGTTTGTTTGTTTTAGCTTTGTGTTTTGCTGTTTACTATAAAAAATAAAACTTGGAATATTAATGATGAATTTGTTAAATTATCACATAATATCTTAAAGAAATGAAGATAAATAAAGTTAATACCTATGAATTTTGAATTAAAATTTTTATTGGTTAAGATTTCAATAGAATACGTAAAACTGAAACATTAAAAATGCAGTGTATGTACCATTCATTAGAAGCTCCTCATATACATTGAGATTTTACTGTCATTTCAAATAATGTTTCACAGTCTGTCAAAATTCCTTTACTGTCACTTGTCAAATATTTTATGAATTATCTTAACATATTATAAGGACTCGTAAATTTATACGTTTTTTAGATGCTTTTTCGGTCTTTGTGTTAAATTTTCGCTTTCACCAGGTAAACAGAACTGTGAAAAATATCAAAAAAGCTCCACCGATTTTCAACATATGCTGCACTATTTAGCCTACAGTGATTTATCGAATAAATGTAACAAAAGGGATTTTTTTGGGTTGCAACAAATATGTTTTAATTTGAAGCACAACATGATTAATAATTTATGAATAATTAACCCTAGAAGACGACGAAGACTGAAATGTTTGTGTAACCTGAAAATTTACAAGAGGGAACCGTGTAACAGAAAAAGTCACATGGATGAACTTATACAAAACATCTAAAAGAAAAAGGTTAAACACGTAAACTCATGTAAAGAATATTCTGTCAGTTTGTTTCCGGCTAGGAAATGTCTGTCACAAAGTTTTAGGCTGTTAGGTTCTTGGTTACCAACATCCTTTTACAGATTTTTTGGACTGTCCCTAAGACCGATTATATTTAGCTTAAAAAGCAATAAAATCAAATATAAGGTTTAACATTAATTTGAACAGCAGACATTTTTTATAAGGGGAAAGGGGGGAGACGAGAGAGACTGGGAGGTGGAGAAAGGGGGTGATAGCAAGAGGACGGAGGAGACGAAATAAGAGGAACGTAATTGGAAGACAGGGGCAGAAAAGACGAGAGAGAGGGGAAATATGGAGGTTACGAGGGGTTTTGAGGAGGAGATAGGGGAAATCGATACAAAAAGGTGGGGGAGGAAAAATGGGAAGATGAGACAAAAGGTTGAGGAGGGCAGAAATGGATTAGACGAGATTAGAGGGATGTGATTGGTAGAAAGGTTGAGAAAAGTGGAGAGGGAGGGGGGAAAGGGATAGACGAGACAAGGAGGGTTGTGAGGGGGAGAAAAAGGGGTTACGAGATAACGGGGATTGCGAGGAGGAGGAAGGGGGATATGTGACGAGAGGGGTTTGCAGGAGGTAAAGTCGAGACAAGAGTGGATTGGAGGGGGTGAGAGAAGTCGAGACAAGAGCGGATTGGAGGGGGTGAGAGAAGTCGAGACAAGAGCGGATTGGAGGGGGTGAGAGAAGTCGAGACAAGAGGGGATTGGAGGGGGTAAGAGAAGTCGAGACAAGAGCGGATTGGAGGGGGTGAGAGAAGTCGAGACAAGAGGGGATTGAAGGGGGTAAGAGAAGTCGAGACAAGAGCGGATTGGAGAGCGTAAGAGAAGTCGAGACAAGAGCGGATCGGAGGGGGTAAGAGAAGTCGAGACAAGAGGGGATTGGAGAGCGTAAGAGAAGTCGAGACAAGAGCGGATTGGAGAGGGAGAAAGGGTGAAGGAAATGGAGACTATATTTTTTGGAGACTATAGGGGTTTGCAGGATCGAGGTAAAGTCGAGACAAGAGGGGATTGGAGGGGGTAAGAGAAGTCGAGACAAGAGGGGATTGGAGGGGGTAAGAGAAGTCGAGACAAGAGCGGATTGGAGGGGGTGAGAGAAGTCGAGACAAGAGGGGATTGGAGGGGGTAAGAGAAGTCGAGACAAGAGGGGATTGGAGGGGGTAAGAGAAGTCGAGACAAGAGCGGATTGGAGGGGGTAAGAGAAGTCGAGACAAGAGCGGATTGGAGGGGGTGAGAGAAGTCGAGACAAGAGCGGATTGGAGGGGGTGAGAGAAGTCGAGACAAGAGGGGATTGGAGGGGGTAAGAGAAGTCGAGACAAGAGCGGATTGGAGGGGGTGAGAGAAGTCGAGACAAGAGTGGATTGAAGGGGGTAAGAGAAGTCGAGACAAGAGGGGATTGGAGAGCGTAAGAGAAGTCGAGACAAGAGCGGATCGGAGGGGGTAAGAGAAGTCGAGACAAGAGGGGATTGGAGAGCGTAAGAGAAGTCGAGACAAGAGCGGATTGGAGAGGGAGAAAGGGTGAAGGAAATGGAGACTATATTTTTTGGAGACTATAGGGGTTTGCAGGATCGAGGTAAAGTCGAGACAAGAGGGGATTGGAGGGGGTAAGAGAAGTCGAGACAAGAGGGGATTGGAGGGGGTAAGAGAAGTCGAGACAAGAGCGGATTGGAGGGGGTGAGAGAAGTCGAGACAAGAGGGGATTGGAGGGGGTAAGAGAAGTCGAGACAAGAGGGGATTGGAGGGGGTAAGAGAAGTCGAGACAAGAGCGGATTGGAGGGGGTAAGAGAAGTCGAGACAAGAGCGGATTGGAGGGGGTGAGAGAAGTCGAGACAAGAGGGGATTGAAGGGGGTAAGAGAAGTCGAGACAAGAGCGGATTGGAGAGGGAGAAAGGGTGAAGGAAATGGAGACTATATTTTTTGGAGACTATAGGGGTTTGCAGGAGGTAAAGTCGAGACAAGAGTGGATTGGAGGGGGTGAGAGAAGTCGAGACAAGAGCGGATTGGAGGGGGTGAGAGAAGTCGAGACAAGAGGGGATTGGAGGGGGTAAGAGAAGTCGAGACAAGAGCGGATTGGAGGGGGTGAGAGAAGTCGAGACAAGAGTGGATTGAAGGGGGTAAGAGAAGTCGAGACAAGAGGGGATTGGAGAGCGTAAGAGAAGTCGAGACAAGAGGGGATTGGAGAGCGTAAGAGAAGTCGAGACAAGAGGGGATTGAAGGGGGTAAGAGAAGTCGAGACAAGAGCGGATTGGAGAGGGAGAAAGGGTGAAGGAAATGGAGACTATATTGGGAGATGGGGAAAATGGGGCCTAACAGGATAAGATGGATGGTACATATAGGGGGATGGGGGGGGAGGTGAACGGAGGGAGAATTAAGAACGGAAAAGATGAGAGAGAAAAATTGAAGTGGTCAAAGAAGGAAAAGAGGGATAAAATAAAGTGGGTGGGAGAGAGATTAAAAAAGGAGAGAGGGAGAGGAGGGAAATCGATATCTCTAACATATTTTAAAGCCCCATCCTCTATAAAATATGAACACATTGATTTATTTTAATCACACAAGAGGAAAAATACACATCAAAATCAAATATGCACACTATTATACACACAAGATATGATCCTTTTATATCAATATATCAAAAAAGGAATATAGGAGTTTTGTTCTTATTTTCTTGTAACTCTTCAAATTGTATATAGATTCATTGGTTGACGCTTTATTCATACACAGCAAAAATCAAAAATGTTACTGCTAGTCTACCGTCACATAGTGAGTCAATATGACTCTGTACTATCTGTATACTCCCAACACTGAGTAGGTACAACAAACACCACAGTGACATTTACAGTGAATGCTATTATTTTGGCGGCAGTCATATTGATTAAATAGATCTTTTTTTTTTCACTGTAGCAATGTTTCTAAGGTGTGCATTAAAATACGCATTCCATGGACATTTTCTAACATTATCTGATAAATAAAACATTCATGATGTATAACTTGTTCTAATCCGACTTGTTTCCGGATTTTAAAAAATTTCTCATCTAACAAATCAAACATATATATTTTTTTGTGTAAATTGATATTTACCATTTGGAGAACAATTTTAACCTACGTTTATAATAAAGACCAAAGTACAGCTCGGTGAATTTAAACCCGAGGGAAGACTCAGTGCCATTGTATTTAGATTAACATCTTCGATTTAATTGTAAATTTACCAATAGTTTAATAATTTTATCAAAACTTGATGTTAGAGATCCAGTAAACCTCTGTACAAATTGTCAATATAAGATAAAGATATGACGAGTGATTTATAATGAATGACCGATAATACGAACAAGCAAAGTTCGTTCAGGTACACCACCAAAAAAATCAATTGAAAAATCTAATGAAAGATGCTGAAAATATTTTTTTAAAATAATTTTGCAGTCATCTTGGAAACACTCGGTATTATTGTCACTTATACTCAAAAGAATCGAGTGTGAGTTCTCTCTCTCTCTCTCTCTCTCTCTCTCTCTCTCTCTCTCTCTTGATGTACTTTGAAGAGGACAAACAGTTTGTACTCATGCCATTTTTAAGAAAACACTCTCTTTTCTGCCAAAGTTGAATCCTAATGCATGGGAAATTTTTTATCTTTTTCCACAGTAATTTTACAGCAGAAGACCACGTTTCATTTCTTCTTAACCATTCTTTGATCGAGAAGGTGGTGTCTTCAAAAACATTACGTACTGAGTAGTTTACAGTTAGTGGACAGCAATTTCAAGGCCATCATAAAATGCATTAGGTTTGATCACACCCCTTAAAAAACATTCGTAAAATATTTTTGAAACAAAATCAATTATAAGAAAAAATTTAAAAAAAAAAATAATCAAAACTCACCAAAATAGTACCAATTTCCAAAAAAAAAAAAAAAAAAAAATTTGGCTAGGAGGAGGAATAGCTTCCAAGACCCTCCTCTTCTACCCCCCCCCCACTTAAAACTTGGCGATGGCCCTTAAGTTTTCTCTGTACGAGGAAAATCTGTTTCTTCAATTCTGGACTGTTTTAATAAACATATCATATCATAAACCGGTATAAATAATTTTGAAATTCCATCTGTTCACACAAGTTTTACTGAGGTTGACAAGAATGTCTCCATGCAAAATAGTAATACTTAATACTAATGTATAATAGCATTCTCCAAACTTTTGAGGATGGAGTAAAAATATGACCCACCAAAGTAGTGGTGATTGAGATTATATGGTTAGTATAATTAACCTACATGACCCAGATATCTACGTTTAGATGATTAAAACTGCTAATGGCTCGGGTAGCTAATTAGTCCCTAGGGAGAAATTTCGATCTGCATTCAGGCGTCTCCTTCGTGGCTATTTCAATAATCGTAAAATCGCAATTTCACATACGTCACCCTACGTAAACAGAGTCTTTATTTCCCTTTATTTATATAAATATCTTTTTTCTTGGACAATCCACACAGCTGTTCTTTTTGTTGCAAATTTATTTCTTTTTGAATAATGGCTTGTTTACTTGTTGGGTTTAATCGATGACGTACAAATCTACTGCTGGGGAGACGGGACATCAGGAATAAGACTGTCCTAATGGTATATAATTAATGACAATATTCAATGTCAGCTATCGACCCATTATATTGCCAGTTTGCACCTTTCTAGTCTTATCATGCTTTTATTCTAAAATTGAAAAAGTCAAAAATGTAAACTTCTGGGTAATCGTACAATTATAGTATTCATTTCCTTGAAAAGTTAACGTTACTTTCTCGAAAATTCATGGAAAGTATTGAAATAAATAAATGAACATGTAGATCGCATGCTGTTTTTAGAATTTTCTTTTTGTAAAGTAAAATTTTTCGATCGGTTTACCGTTTGACAGCTTTTTAGAAATGTGTTCAGATGCTAGTTTGTCATTCAGATTTAAAATAAAAAAGAAACTGCAGCTGTGTGTGTATGTGTGCCAATATGATATTTCTATTTATTAGTGGTAGTTTAATAATCAATAAATCACATCAATTAAATAAAGCGTCTGGAGACTGGGCGAGGAGAATGTTTCCACTCACAAGAAATACATCTTACTTCTTTTAATGATCAATTTGAGAAATCCTACAATCTGCCTCATCTCTGTTTTTATTTTAGTTGCTGAACTGTTGAAGTTTGGACAATGTGGAGTTCATTTAGAAGGTAAATTTTTGAAGGTTTCAGGTACATGTAGATGTTAACGCCAATATTAACAGATTTGCAAATATATATATATATATATATATATATATATATATATATATATATATATATATATATATATATATATATATATATATATATATATATATATATATATATATATGCATATTTTAGAAATATTTGCTAAATTTTAGTTTTATTGTTTATATCTGCTTGTATTTTATTTTCACTAGAATGCTAATAAGGCAATTAAGATCGTCATTTAATTTTGTTCATCTTCTTAAAAAATATTTAAAAAAAAAGGCCACATTTAATGAAACAATTTTAAGCATTAGGCTGCATCCATAAAATTCAGATATTTTCTGCTTTAGAAAAGATCTTTTTCTCAATTAATGAAACAAAATCAGTGCCCTATTCTTGAGGTTTCTGGTAATTTTCAGAAGCCTTCACTAGACTCTCTGAGTAGGTCAATATACTTCAACCTTTTAATCATTTTGGGTTAAATGTCATCTAATACATTATGTAAGTAAATCTTTTATTATAATGACATGTGTATATATTCCAATACAATAACAAATACAATAGAAACATATGTACATTACACTAGGCCCATTGGACCTATATGTCACTTTAGTATATGTACAATATATGTGTAGCATTTTTTTCAACTTCTAATTCGCCCCATTTTTATAATTATTTAAATCTGTTTTAAAAATACTAAAAATAAACATGTTTCCCTTTCAAATTCTTAATAACTCTTCATAAAATCTCAAACTACAATGTATTTTGTCTTTGAAGGTATTATTGGGTGGCAGGACTTGTTGTCATCCTCTACACGATATCAGTGATGGTCAGAATGAATATACATTCAAGCGACGGGATAAGTGGATTATATAAAGAACTCGACCTTCGAGCCTCGCTGATGGAGAGAAGGTCTTCTCTGAAGTGCACAAAGAAAACTAACGTGGCCTTTCTTAAGGTCCATAAAGCGGGCAGCACCACAGTAATGAATATCTTCATACGATTCGCTATAAAGAATGACCTTAACTTAGTACTACCAAGACGCAGTAACGGTACAGGGTTTAATTACCTCGGATACGGAACAACAGTGGACCGGAACAAGATTGTTCCTCTTCCGGGAAACGAAACATACAATATCCTGTGTAATCACGTGGTCTACAATAAAGAGGCGTTCGATTCCATAATGCCCAGAGACTCTGTTTATGTTGCCATTGTACGGGAGCCCAGGAGTCACTTTATTTCGGCCGCTTCCTATTACGGATTTATTTCTTTTCTTAAGAAAACGATTCCTCACAGAGGTAACGTCAGTGACGGGATGTTGTTAGATATGTTTTTGCGGCGGTTTGCCGTCAGTGGAAACCACTCCCAGGCTGGGCTAAACTACATCAACAACAGACAGTCGTTTGACTTTGGGGTTCCGCGTTCCCTGTTTAGAAACAAATTCGTCATCAATAAGTATATTCAGAAGCTAGATAGTGAATTTTCACTTGTTATGTTGATGGAATACTTCGACGAATCGCTAGTTCTAATGAAGAGATACCTCTGCTGGGATTTAGATGAAATCTTATATGTTCCTCTTAATATCAACAAAGGCAAGAGAAAACATCCTGTCCAGTTACCCCCAGATTCAGAAAAATTTCTCCATTATTTTGATTATGCAGACTTTCAGTTATATGACCATTTTCAAAAACGTTTTATGGATCAGATGAAGTTAGAAGGACCAGACTTTCAAGACGAAGTGAACACCTTTAAAGAGATAAAAAGTCACGTGACGACATTTTGTCAGAGCAGGCCTCTTCCTAATCGTTTTATAAACCTAAGTTCCACAAAGTGGAATTCAGAGTTTAATGTGACGTCAGAAGACTGCAAGGAAATGATGATAGCGGAACTTCCGATGATGCGCATGCTCATAGACTCAGCTAATACTCGGTATAGTGATTGGTTGAGAGTGCAAAAACTTAAAAACTCTCGACAACGAATGTTTGGTTGAGAACTTAATCCTGCAATTATTTGGTCAAATTTTACCAGTTACAAAAAGTTAAATAAAGTGATCTGATAAATTTGAATCAGGTAAATGATTGAAGTGGAAGACTTTTGACTAGGGTTTAGCCCAAGTTACTGTACTCGACAGTTATCACCGTGATGCGTCATGAGTTACTGTACGTAGTGGTAACACAAACTCTAGTCTGTGACTAATGACTCGTCTCCATGACAACACTGTCCAGTCCTCTGCACCAGACTATCAAGCAAGAAAACCAAAGACTCCTAAGTGTTGTACACCAGATCAATGAGACTGATATTTTGAAATCACAACTTTAAGTTAAGCCATGCACCATTTCATTAGCTTTATTACTTTTCTTGATGCCGGTGAGTCCATTGTGAGGTAAAATCGCCGTTTGCAGACTGCAATTCACGCTTTTAAAAGGCAAAGAAGGCATTCCAGACATGCATAATATGTTTTATGATTTTTGAGAATGTTTATTTACTGTTGGTTGTTAACTGCTAGTATGGGTAACTATCAAGTATTGTTAATTTAATAGTGTTAAATATGAATGGAAATATTTATTGTACGAGTGACTTTTTACATTGCATTGTGTCCTGCAGTAAACGAGCATATTTTATTTTTTTCTCATTAAAACTTGTAAAACAAAAAGAGTTGAGTCATTTTTAAAATATTTTCAACACTTTGGAAAAATGTAGCTTAATATTAATTACATGGTATATCAGCAAGTCTTAAAAAGACATTTCTTTTCGCAAATGCATTATCAAATCCCCCTCAAGATACCGTATAACTGCACAAATTCTGTACGTTGGCCAAAAGACGGATGAATTTAACATTTATAAAACCCTTCAGAGAGAAAACTGAAACAATGGGTGTATTATGAGAGAAAAACAAAACATGTCATATACGTGACCTTGGATAACACTGATCATCTTGAAATATTCGCTTCTATACAAAAAAACATAACCCTCGGGGTAAAGATCAGCCATAAAATATAAATCTTCATCTCACTGGACAATGAAGGGTAAATTTATTTCACATACGTGAAAAATTATGAAGTTTATTACACACATGATTAATTACAAAGTTTACTAGCTTTACAAACCTGATTAATGATAATTCATAAAGTTAATCCTGGTTGTTTTGTTATTGTTCTATTCATATTTTGTCCCCATCTTAAGAGGGTTTTGTGCCCATGGCCATTGTTAAACTATTTGAATCTCCGGGAAAGAAGAGTTCTGTATTAAAGTTGAGTATTTGCATTAAATATTAGAGCTGGAACTTTTTTTTTACTAAATAATACTTTGTGGTTAGAATATATATATATATATATATATATATATATATATATATATATATATATATATATATATATATATATATATATATATATATATATATATATATATAGCCTACTTCACACTTCATAATTTCATGAATATAAATCACATGCATTCAGTATACATACGTTACTAATTATGCTTGAATACATGTAATTATCCTTTACATATTCAATTGATATATATGGAGGAATATTCAGTGGCGGATCCAGGAATCTTGAAAAAGGGGGCCCGACCAGTTTAGGATCGGGGTAGGGGCCCACGGCCACACCAAAAAAAATTGATTTTTTAAATCTTACGTATATTTTGGACACAAAAGGGAGGACCCCTGCCCCCTCTAAATCCGCCAGTGATATTAAAATTTACAAACAATTTTTATCACTTACGAGTTTAAAAAAGTCCTAAACTAAGAATGTTGTCATTGCTCGTGTTAAAATCACATCAGTAAAACTTGTTTAGTACGAACACCGGAGAAAGCGAATTTACGGCCGGATATAGTGAAGTTAGTTTTTCTGGGATCCTTGGCAAAATTCTTAAAACAATTCCTTATAAAATTTTTACTGTTATAACAAACTATAATTTAACGAATTTACTGGTCTAACACGCTGATTCTATGGTCAGGAGAGGTTAAAACATTAAAACATATTTTTTTTTAATTTCAAAATTGGAAATATAAAATTGATTGTGTGTAATTTTTTATATGTGAAATTTGATTCATCGGAAAACTATCGCCATCCAAAGTAAGTTTTATATTCAATATTTATCTAAACATATTCGGTAATCATACTTGAAAAAAATATGAATATTATACAAATTCGGTTTCTGTACATGTACTTTAATTTCAATCCAATGTTTTCTCGGACGTCCGTGCCGAATTGTACCCACCCATTCTATTGTCTATCATTAAATGTTTTGATTGTAACAGATGGAAATGACGTAAGCTGCATATTTCCAATTTTTCCAGTTAATGTTCCGCGGTCTTACTGAATTCGTTATAGTGATACGGATCGGATATACCGAATTGCGGATATGGAACTAAATTCACAGGTCCCTAGGACTTCCTTATAACCACTTCCGGGATTTATCTGCCTCTTTGTCCCTCAATTTTCTGCGAAATAGCAATATGTACTGACTTGATCGATTTCATATCTGATTGCTTTTCAGAGAAAGGGATCACACGGATAATAACAGGCATTTCAGATTACTATTAGATGTGTCTGTCCCCGCCCACATTCATGTAGAAAGGACTGTAGATTTCCATTTATTTTATCGTACATCAAAGTTTTAAAACTGTATAGTTGGTTAAAACTACCCTGGAATTAGAACTCTTCAGTGAGCAGTGTTAAGAGCTGTCTTATATATTTGAATTAGAACTCTTCAGTGAGCAGTGTTAAGAGCTGTCTTATATATCTGAAAGTCCAGGAAATGAAAATAATAATGAAAGTAGTATAGGAGGACTATTGTGTTGGAGAATAATGGAGAGAAAAATAGGGAAGACAATGCAGTGACCCTGACCTAGTTATGGGTACTGTTTTTAAATGGCACGATGGTTAGGTGGAGTTCAGAAGCACTTTTAAATACGAAGGAGTGAACACGGGTATTCAACCTTACAATTGTACATAAGCCATTACACATGATTATTGTCAATTCTTAACATTTGTATCCTTGACCTTCTTGGAGAGGACTTGTATAGGCAATGCCTGATGTCCAATCCAATTATGTAACTTGACTTTAATAATAAAATACTGATTAAATTAAATTATTATAAAAAACAGTACCCATAAGTAGGTCAGGGTCACTATATTGTCTTCCCTACAGTTCTCTCCATTATTCTCCAACACAATAGGTTCCCATTGTTTGGGGGGGGGGGGTGTCCTCCTATACTACTAATGGTGTAAATGAATCAAAAATAGAATATCAATATATATTGCTGATTTTGTTTTTCATTTCGATTTACAAGCACTTTAGAAAAGAAGTCCTGAAACAGTAAAATTTAGAAAAATGTTTCATATAAGTCTAAGGGCAATAAGTTTTGTGAAAATGAATCAATCAACATTAAACTTAAGTTTGCTTTCATATCATCAATATAAAAAAAAACATGCCAAACATCAGCATATTATCTGCAAACAAGACCAAAACAGTATGGAAAACTGGTTTGGTTTGAACCTATTTTATTGTCTATAAACTTTACAACTGGGATTGGGCAAAAGTTCTTAAAACTTAATACGCCCTCTCCCTACATATGAATTATACCAAAACATATTTACATATATGGGTTTCAGCTTAAAATGAATAAAACACAGAAAAGCATAATAACCAGAGAAACATTATACAATACACAAGCTGTATAGAATTTGCAAGAAGTAATTATTGCATCAACCAAAACGACCTGACTTTTTAATAAATGTTTGTACAATAGAAAATAAGTATTCATTTTCAACATTGTTTAACTTTTCATCTCCCCAGAGTAATGTACGTATGAGTATCGACAGTATGTAATTTTCCCATTCGCAGAAATTTATCGAAAAATTCTTTTCTGGTTTCTGTATATTTTTTGCACGAGAAGAAATAATGATGGGTGTCCTCTACTCTTCCACAGGAACATAAGGGACTCAAGATTATATTACATCGAAAAAGATCGCTATTAAGTACACAGTTGTGTCGAAGCCTTGTATGTAATATATTTAAGCGTCGATTTCCGTAACTGAAGTAAGAGGGTGGCATAGTTTTATTATAAGAAATAGACTTTTTAAAAATAGATAATGAGGAAGAATTTCTTACAACAAGAGGTAATGAGTTCCATTCATCAATAACAAGGGGAATGAAAGTTGACTTGTAGGTTTGTAATCTGCATTTGGGTATGTTATAGTTATGTGAATTTCTCGTACTGTAACTTGATGAATTACAACGCAAATTTGGGATTATATCAGTCAGATACTCAGGAACTTGATTATTATAAATTTTGTACATTGTAGTTAATCTAGTATTTTTCCTTCTTTCATGTAATGGTTCCCATCCAGTTTCAAAGTAAAGTGCATCTTTAGAAGCTAACAGAGTTAAGCCTGTGACAATTCTAGCAGCACATAATTGTAATTTTTCAAATTTTTCGCTATCACCTACATTACGCCCACCCCACACCAGTGAAGCATATTCTAATTGTGGCCTAATAAAGGTTGTGTACATGAGTGAAAGAGTTTTCCGATTTACTACAAATTTAAGTTTTTTTAATAAGCCCAATTTTTTATACGCATTAGTTAAAATAGTATCAATATGTGTCGACCAACTAAGATCATGTGAGAAAAAAAATCCCTAAATGTTTATGCGAAGAGACAAATTCTAAATTCTAACTAACTATGACGGACGGAAAGAGGTACGTATACATTATAAATGGCGGGGGCATAAAAAAGGTTTACTTAATTCCGATCTTGTCAGATTTATCAAGAAGCATAATAAGAAAAATTGTATAAATTTAACAATGAACTTCATGTGTATAAAAGAAGATGGATTAACTGGAACCAGATATTTGAAAATATAAACTTATAGATAAATTTATGTCATCTACATTATTATTTTAGTATATCTTGTGTATTCATATTTTTTTTTTAATATTTCATGTTTATTCCTAAAAATCTGTATGTAAGCTTTCCAGTCGTGGTGTGTCTGTGTTTGTGTATGTGTATTTATGTTTGTTTATGTCTAAAGTCAATTAAAAAAAAAAAGAAGCAAAATAATTCTTAGTTTTATTATTGCATTTTTTTAAAAAAAACGTAATTAATCAAAATGAGATTATATATTGTGATGGCAGGTTTAGAGACCAGTCATTATTGCTAGATTCGTCGTCGCCGAAATTGCCCTGTTCCGACTTTAGCAAAAGTTACAATTAAGAAACAATAACTGCAAATTTAAGCACACAAGTAAGCCAAATTCAAAACACCGGTATACTAACTCCCGATTTTCTTTCTAGTTTTTAGTGTTTCTGGAAGGAGATACAATGTATAAAAATAATAAACTTGAAAAAAAAAAAAGATGCAATCATATTGAAGATTGTCCAACCTTGAAAATTGATAGGCGATTGTCAAGATTGCAGAATTGTGTCAGTTTGAAACATATCCCCGGGAATATCACTTTTTAATAGCTTTCTTCATTATTTTTTCGCATAATCAGCATCATGAAGTAGTCACAAATCTCTGTTAACAATATATGTTCAATAAACTGGATAAATTTATTACTATAATGACTTCACGATAAAAATATAGGCTACAGGAATGATCGAAAATTTGGGTTACGCTGTCTTACCTATGGTAAATTATTAAATGAATAAAATTCCACAATGAAAATTTATTTTTTAATGTCCAATCTACGTTGTCGTAGTTTGACGCGGCATCGATTATACATCGAGTCAAGCCAAAAGAAGCACACTTCCTACAATGCAATCAGCTGTGTATGTTGTCTAAATAAAAATACGATTACATGATTCGTATTGAACAAAGCATTCGGTTTAGTTCGGTGATCGGCAACGTGTCTAAAACTGAGATCATTAGAAAGTATACAAGGGTTGTCCTGCACAATATGTTGCAGTTTAGGACTCCGTGGATGAGGTTATTTGCCGTTTTGTTTTAAACTACCAGAAAAAATATAAATTTCCTGAGAAGATGAAAAATAACAGGATTTTCTATACATTGGTAACTTAAAAATTCCCATATAGATGATCAGATATTTATAGAATTCATAGATTTTGACCGGTCGACCATTTTTGCTTCTTCCAGTTTTCATTTCTCTCATTATTTTCAGGCAGACTATATTAAATACACACAAACAGCAACATTATGTTTCAAGGGCTAAAATTCAAATATTTGAGATAAAACATTTATGAAATCTTGATACACAAGCAGACATCATTATGCCATATGACTTTTTATTACGGTGGTCGTATATCCACTAGATTTTAATTAAAACAATATTGTAGAAGAAAACAAAAAAAAGAGTCATTTTACATTCCCCATGATTTCCGGACGATGTCTCCAACACGGAGTTTACGACACTTCCTAGGTAGCTAGATCCTGTCATCCTGATTGTTCTCACTTCTTCCAATTTTGGTCTATATGCAAGCCCGTAGCAAAAAAAAAAGGGGGGGGGGGGCAACCTCCCAAATAATCTGACAAGCAAGAAAAAGAAAACTGTCCAATCCTTGAATTTGCCAGTGCTCAACCTTACAGCAACAAAAAATGGGTGCCAACCAGCATCTAAATGAAAATTTACTAAAGCAAAATACTATACTCAGAAAAAAGCGGCAATGGGGCCGACCCCCCTCCCCCCCCCATCTTTGCGTCCTACGGGCCTGGTATGCTCTTATTTCTGAGTTATTAGCAGAAACAAGATGTGTTTGTGAAACACTGATGCCCCCGTATGGCAACTTATAGCAAAGAATAACTTTCTCAAATGCAATCAAATATGTTGATACCCAAAGTAAGGTCTTGTACCGAGGAATATACCTGTTAAATATGAAAGCCTTGGCAGCAACCATTGAAAAGATATGGAAAAGGTTAAAGTTTTTCAAAAGCAAGTCAAACATCAAGGTCAAGGTCAAAATTAATGGTGCCCAAGGAAAGGCCTTCTCACAAGAAATACACATGTGAAATATGAAAGCCCTAGCACCAACCGTTTAAAAGATATGGCCAAGGTGAAAGTTTTTCCAAAGAGAGGTCAAACTCCAAAGTCAAGGTCAAAGGGTCAAAGTTGTTGGTATCCTACATGTAAGTAAGGTCTTGTCACAAGGATTGCATATGTGAAGTAAGAAACCCCGAGAACCAACTGTTCAAAAGAAATGGCCAAGGTTAAAGTTTTCCAAAAGTAGGCCAAACTCCTAGGTCTAGGTCAGTGGGCTATAATTGTTGGTATCTAAAGGAAGGGCTTGTCTCAAGGATTACACATGTGAAGAATGAAAGCCCTAGCACCAACTGTTCAAAAGTTATGGCCAAGGTTAAAGTTTTCCAAAAGTAGGTCAAACTCCAAGGTCAAGGTCAAAAGGTTAAAGTTGTTGATATCTAAATGAAGGTCTTCTCACAAGGATTACATATGTGAAAAAATGAAAGCCCTAGCACCAACCATTCAAAAGACATGGCCAATGTCAAATTTTTTCAAAAGTAGGTCAAACTCGTAGGTCAAGGTCAAAGGGTCAAAGTTGTTGGTATGCAAAGGAAGGTCTTTCACAAGGATTACACATGTGAATGATGAAAGTCCTAGCATCAACCATTCAAAAGTTATAGCCAATGTTAAAGTTTTCAAAAGTAGGTCAAACTCCAAGACCAAGGTCAAAGGGTCAAAGTTGTTGGTATCCAAAGAAAGGTCTTGTCACAAGGATTACACATGTGAAGTATGAAAGCCCTAGAACCAACCGTTCAAAAATTACGGCCAAGGTTAAAGTTGGGAAAATTTTTGTAAAAATGGGTCAAACTCCAAGGTCAAGGTCAAATATTATGGTACCCAAAGAAAGGTCTTATCACAAGGAATACACATGTGAAATATGAAAACCATAGCTCCAACCAATCAAAAGTTATGAGCAATGTTAAAGTTTTTGCCGACAAACAGACAGACAGACAGGGCAAAAACTATATACCCCCGAATCTTCGATACAGGGGCATAAAAATGCATATCATCGGATTAAAATGAAAAGTGGATTGTTTGTAGGAAATGTGTACTTCATCAATAGCATAAAGTCTTAGAAAAACTGGTCTGCTCCCCAGTACAGAGGAGATTTTCGAAAAGTTTAGGATGACCACAACGACAATGAGGACGGACGACATAACCTCACTTGGTCCCCTGGGCCAAACAAACTAAACTCATATAGAAAATAGTAATCTTTACATCTTTAGGTCAAGAGCACTGCATTTTAGTTTTAGTCACATATTTTCAATGTTTCACCTCCCTCAAATGGGAATTCTGGGTCAACAAATAAAGCTTTAGACAGTTTGTGTGGGAAGAATCGGGTTTATTTTTAAGTATCATCTTTAAAAAAAAAGGTGATAATGAAAAATTTCTGAATTTTTCCTGATGTAGAAAAGTTATTCTCCTCTAAGATTAGGGTTTTCAAATCATTTTGATACTAATTTTAAAAAATTCAAATTCTAAAACATGCATTACCACTGGATTTCATCTGACAATCCTTCCAAGAAAATGTATACAATGTACCGGTACTATACAGGCTAGGAAGCTTGTATGTATATTTGTATATACAGTTATAACATACTATTTTGTTTTGACAGTTTCAGATGAAGTGAATGATTTCTTTGAATAAAGTTACAATTAAATTTTATTAAATTATACATTCCTTTATTAAATCACTGTTACAATAATACACAGCACTTCTGATATTTTTTTTATACATCTGATTTGTAACATGTGATAGAGTCATCAAAGTTAATTACCTGCTAAGATTTAGAATCAAATACACAAGAGTGAGGTCCAGTGATTACCTAATTATATATGACAGTCAGGTAATTATAATGTTAATATCTTGCATCTCTGATTTATAATTAATTAAATTATTTCTTAATTGTCTTACAACCTTGAATCCAAGTGATTTATTGCCTTGCCCCTTAGTGCTTTTTGAAGTGCAATAAAACAAATTAGTTAATTTACATTTGTTATAATTATTTCATTTTTTTTTAAGGAAAAGGACTGCTTTGCATTGAACACAATCTACTTCAACAGATTAACTATATTTAAAATTCCCCAGAAATACATGTGCAAAATACTCCAGTCTCATAAAATAATTTGAGACATATGAAAAGTCCCTTTTCTCACTCTCTATCTCACAATATATTCAAGTCATAAAATGTAAAACACTCTTTATTGCACTGAATATCATGAAGAACAGGTACCAGGTATTGAGGTGTCTGACCCTCGTTACGTCTGTATAATTGAGTCCAATCACTTCTGACATCCTTCTGCATTATCAATGTGTCCTGACTTCACAAGTTCAAATGACAGTCATGAATAATGTTTCTCATGTTTTCCACTGTTGAAGAACCTGCAATATATTGAAAATGACCTATAATATAGCTTGTCTAACAATGGAAGTCAACATCAAATCTAATCCAATTTACACACCCTCTCCCCCAAAAATATATTAAGGGAAAAAAACTTTTATCTTAAGGGGGCTGACTGGGGTTTTCATTGCTCAATACTTCGCGCAGCATAGTAAAATAAAGCATATTTACTCCTTTAAAGCAACTATTTTTACATAATTTATAAAAATTAACAGATTTAGGAAATCTCAGGTTAAAAAATCTAATTAGGTTTTTCAATAAATGATTTTTAAACAATTTTTCAAATTTTCAAATAATAGGTAGATAGACGTCGTAATAGTGTGTGCTCTTGAAATTTTAAACATAGGAAGTTGAGAATCTCACAATCATTTTTATTATTTTTTATGTAAATCTGTGGTATCTATCATGTTTTGTAGTACTCCATAAAAAGAGGAAAATATCATGAATTGTGACATTTTGAGATGCCCCCTCTGGAAACCAGATAGTAGAATTTTGTGTTTGTTACATAAAATGTACAATATAGTATTACTCATCAAATAATATAATTTGAGCAAAAAGTCTACAGTAGCATTTGTATAATTTGCTCCGAAGTGCAAAAAATTGTATTTTCTTAAATAATCCTATAATAAATGTACCTGTATTTTGAGTCAATCCCTAAAAAGTAACCAGACGGTAGATTTTCACTAAACTTGGCATGTATACTGAAGTCAATGTAAGTTGCATTTGATATAAAATTTAAGACTTTCTGTATAGTAGTTTTCACACAATAAAACCCCAGTCGGCTCCCTTAAAAAATCAAGGGAGAATATTCCTGTCTGTTATGAAGGGTGCATAATATGTACTTAAGAATAAAGTGACTATAAAGTAGGGATGTCAACGAATATTCGAGTACTCGACTATCATTCGATCATACCGACTATCGACTAAAATTATTGTAGTTGGTTATTCGTTAAAAATTTGCTACTTTATAGTAATCTTAAATTCAAGGTAAAATAATTGGAATTGGATCTGCTCAGTTCATTTATTAACGTATCAGTGTTCAGTGTTGTCGTGAGTAAAACTTGGGGAAAGGCTTAACCTGTCTTCGTTAATTGTTCAAACAAATTTTTTTGTTTGGCCATCATGCATTGGCATACTTTAAAAGATGTCAGATCCAGATTGTAAAGTTTCAACCTGCAATTCCATAAGATCTCGTATAATGCAACTATCAATTAATGAAGAATAATTAAACAGCTGTTACATATTTGTAAATACATGTAAATTGGGGGACGGTTATGGGCGTAATCTAAAGGTGTTTCTTTCTGATATTTTAATAATTTTAAAATCGTATTGATTATTTGCAAAAAATCTCATAATTAAAATTTATCGCAAGCTCTCTTTGTTTTTATAAGAGTTATGCTTTAATTGTTTAACAATCACGGGTCACTGACAAGACACATTCAAATGGCTAAAGGTAAGAAATCAACAACTGGTACATGTACTAGCAGCATAAAAACAAAGGATAAATGCGAGCGTTTGATATTCTGTATATAGATAAAATAAACAAATCGTTGTATAATGGTGATAGCGTATATTGAATATTATACAGGCTAGCAGTCTGTTTAAGACAAAAAGGAAAAGTAAAATGAAAAATTTATTTTTTCAACGAGTACTCGACTATCATTCGACTAAAGCCTCCGACAATTCGACTAAGCTGTCCGAGTAAAATTGACATCCCTTCTATAAAGACAATGCTTGATCAGAGATACTCTAACAGAAATAAAGACAGCTAACCTTAAAATTCCTACACTGAACTCGTAAATTAATCTTTAACTGGATGCATGTCCACTCATTTCTCCCAAAGGGTGAATGGATTTTTACTAGGGATGTCAAATCGGTCAATTTTTGATAATCCGTTGCTCGGACGTTTTTCCAATCGACAGCCCGGGTACTCGGTAAAAATGTAAATGCAAGTTTGTTAATTTTTAATTGTTAATTTGTTAAACTCCAAAGCTGATTTGTCACGTTTTATGAACGTATATAAACATGGAGTCCAACGGAAATTATTTTTAGTACTAAATTTATTTAATAAATAAACACAAATGATGCAATAAATACATAAAAAATTACAAATGGTTTACATTTCTTGTTTAAGATCTATTTCATCAACGTAAAAGGAGGACAATCTATTACGCAGGTTTGTGATGATTAGATTAGCGAAAGAGAAGGAACGGACGTTGTTTGGATTGCTAGTCTAATATTTTTTCAACTTACTAGGAAACTGACTTTAAACATTTTTTTGATAAGTTTTTGATAAAAAACATGTACCTTGAAATGAGAAAAAATACACATCCGAGTAACCGAGTATCATTTTTAGTATTTGATACTCGGACGTTCGATCGAGTACCTAGTTAACTGGGTACTCGTTGACATCCCTAATTTATACTATCTGTTGTGTGATGCCACAGTTAAGTCTCCATTATTAGTACAATATAATTGCAGATTTATGTCGTTACTGTTAAATACAAAGAATTTTTTTTAATTCTGTGTAAGCTGCGTAATCTTAATGAAACACCTTTTTTTTTAAAAAAAGATAAATGCTGATTCCAATATAGAAGTGTGAAGGTTTACAGAGTTTGGGTCTCTATAACCAATAGATTTCCCTGCTAAGTTCAACAACTCAGAAACAAGATTAACATTCCAGGAGGAGTTATCTTCTCCTGTTGGAGACTATAAATCAATGAACTTCACTGTAAGCAATAAACCTTTAATCAATCAAACAGTAAACACAGATTAAACACATTCCTTCCCTATCTCTTCTCTGATACATTTATAACCACTGCAATAAACGTAAAACACAGTCTGATTTAAAATCTGAATCCACCTTTTCAATCTTTCCCTGTACAAAAAGACTTAAGAACTATCCAAGGGTTTTGTTTGAAACCTAGTTTAATGGCTGAGGACATTAAATAGATATGTATAAAAGGAGATTCAACAGGGTATTATTACCCTATTCTGACTAGTTAACAGTTAGGCAATGTCACCAACTTAAACCATTAACCAATGTCACCAACTAGTTAACAGTTAGCCAATGTCACCAAATAGTTAACAGTTAGCCAACCAACTTAAACCATTAGCAAGTCACCAACTAGTTAACAGTAAGCCAACAGTGATTCATTTTGGTGTGCATCCTGCGTAAATTACACATGAATTTTGCTCAGGACACATTTTTTCAATAAATGTGCATCCCAATGGACGCATAAAATTTTTAAAATGAAAGGTATTATTTTTTAAATTACTTCGGTAAAGTATGCTTCAAAACTTGGACAATGCATCATATCCACATGCTAAGCGATATGCATGAGTGATTTTAACAGGTACAAGGTTGCCAACAACAGGTCAGATTTCACACTTCATTTTTAAATTGCAGTTAACAGTGAAACAATTATCAGAAAAAGAAAGTTCAATTTTGTCTGCTGTGGAACATTTCTGAAGTGTATACTATACATTTGTATTTTAGCTGTAACCTGAATCATTTTAATTTTTCCTTAGAAGCTAATAAGTATTTAATCATTCTTCTTTCTGACTATTTTTCTTTATTATAAAGAGAACTTTATTTACTTCATTCAGTAGAACAACTGGTCTGCTTCTGTTTATGGCAGATACAAATTATTTGTGAAATCGTATGTACGATCTAAAAATAGAACCAAAATGTGCAGTTGACAACATATTATTTACATGCCACAAAATTATTTATTCTGACTTCCAATTGATAGTAATTATAGCATAAACCACTCACAGCTTCAACAAAATAACTGCACTTTTGGACAAAACCCTTTTCTATTTCACCATAATTTCCTTTGTAATATACGGTACCATTGAGTACCCTTGGATTTGGACGCATTGGTTTTGGCATGGGACTCACTGTTGTCATTAAGAGGGGTCCTTTGGACCCATGATAACCATTTTCAAAATGAATCACTGAGCCAATGTCACCAACTTAAACCATTAGCCAATGTCACCAACTAGTTAACAGTTAGTCAATGTCACCAACTAGTTAAAAGTTAGCCAATGTCACCAACTAGTTAACAGTTAGCCAATGTCACCAACTTAAACCATTAGTCAATGTTACCAAGTAGTTAACAGTTAGCCAATGTCACCAACTAAAACCATTAGCCAATATTATCAACTAGTCAACAGTTAGCCAATGTTACCAACTAGTTAACAGTCAATGTCACCACACTGAGACTGGAACTGGGTGATTAACGTACCCTGTTTGCTCCCTCCAGACTAGAGATCAGGTTCCTCAGGTCCTCTTGTGTCAGCTCCAGGGAGTGGATTTCCGTCGAAGCCTCACTCTGAACATCAAGGTCAAGATTCAACAGAGGTTCATGGATGGAGGACAATTTGTCACTGGACATAGCTAACTGTGGACCACAGAATTTTGGATGAAGCGTTAGTTATAAATACCAAATAAAATCTCTATCATGTACATGCAAATCAATTTTTATACCAGTGCATTCAAATTAAAGCTCTTATTCTAGTAAAGTTATTTAAAAGAAATTCTTGACAACATTGGCAATAATTGTAAACAGGATCAAGTTTGTCAAAATCTGTTATGTAGTGTTCCAGCATATACCAGCACTGGCCTCAGAACAAAGGTATGATTTCTGCTCAAACATTGACAGACATTTTCTTACAATGATTCCTTACTTTAACTTGCCAATCAAAGTCCCTTAGCGTAGATTTTGAGATTGAGTTTGTGTCAGACAGTAGTTGGTGGTGGACATCTGACCGCCTGGCATTTACAACATCTATAATCAAAGACCGGACCTCCTCCGGAAGGCTCTCCAATCTCTGTAGAATCTGAAAAAACAAACTTGTTACATGATAAAATTTACAAACCAAGGTGTCAACTATCAATGCTTTAAATTCATTGCTATAGGTTTTATCCCACCTCAGGAAAAAGTTGAAGCATACATTGGCAATTCAATATACACTTCTATTCAATAAAAAATGAGAGGCCAGATTAATGATAGTAGAAATCATAAATCACTTCAAGCATTGATCTTGTTTACAGTTCTGCTTAAACAGTATGACATCAATTCTTATAACAGGAGAGCAATACTGTCGTGTTTCAAAGTTCAACATCTTCCCAAACCTGATGCATTGTTTTTTCTATTGATAACCAATCTGGTCTTTGTTAAGTGATTCTGTGTCTAACCTGGTCTTTGTTGAGTGATTCTGTGTCTGTTGATAACTAACCTGGTCTTTGTTGAGCGATTCAGTGTCTGTTGATAACAAACGTGGTCTTTGTTAAGTGATTCTGTGTCTGTTGTTAACAAACTTGGTCTTTGTTAAGTGATTCTGTGTCTGTTGTTAACTGACCTGGTCTTTGTTGAGTGATTCTGTGTCTGTTGTTAACTAACCTGGTCTTTGTTGAGTGATTCTGTGTCTGTTGTTAACTAACCTGGTCTTTGTTGAGTGATTCTGTGTCTGTTGTTAACTAACCTGGTCTTTGTTGAGTGATTCTGTGTCTGTTGTTAACTAACCTGGTCTTTGTTGAGTGATTCGGTGTCTGTTGCTTATTAACCTGGTCTTTGTTGAGTGATTCTGTGTCTGTTGTTAACTAACCTGGTCTTTGTTGAGTGATTCTGTGTCTGTTGCTAACTAACCTGGTCTTTGTTGAGAGATTCTGTGTCTATTGATAACTAACCTGGTCTTTGTTGAGTGATTCTGTGTCTGTTGTTAACTAACCTGGTCTTTGTTGAGTGATTCTGTGTCTGTTGTTAACTAACCTGGTCTTTGTTGAGTGATTCTGTGTCTGTTGCTAACTAACCTGGTCTTTGTTGAGTGATTCTGTGTCTGTTGTTAACTAACCTGGTCTTTGTTGAGTGATTCTGTGTCTATTGATAACTAACCTGGTCTTTGTTAAGTGATTCTGTGTCTGTTGTTAACTAATCTCGTTTTTGTTCACTGATTCTGTGTCTCTTGTTAACTGACCTGGTCTATGTTAAGTGTTTGTTAAGTCCGTCTGTGTCTGTTGTTAACTAACCTGGTCTCTTTGTCCGTTGATAACTAACCTGGTCTTTGTTAAGTAATTCTGTGCATGTTGTTTACTAACCTGGTCTTTGTTAAGTGAGTCTCGGACTACGGTCTTGATCAGACTTTCCCATGATTCAGTCAAGGCCCACCACTCCTGTAGGGTCCAAATCTGGTCATAGTTAGAGTAATGTAGATGCCCCCTTTTACAGAAGTTATCCACTAAGCCATGAAGCAACTGAAATAATGAACACAATACATAAGTTTGAAATTACTTTTAAAAAAATTCCAATTTTAGTTATTCCCTTGAACAACATGATTGTGGGATCAAAGAAGCACATCAATGTAAAACACATCTGAATTTTTTTTTACTTTTTTAAAAATACTTTTAAAAAAAACTTCAATTTATAAAATGCTGTTTTCTAGAGTGTTGATTTCCATTATCCCCTGGCAGTGTGCAACAAAAACTTGTTTTCAGCACTAACCCAGTTGGTATTTCAATGGCAGAATGTTACTAGCCCCAATCACTTAAATACTAGCCCCCTCAGATATGTGAAAAAATAAAATGACAGTTTTGTTTTATTCAATTGTTTTAATCAATAAGGGTCATTATTTAATTTCAAAATTGAATTTTCTGTTACCTCTGTTTTGTCGGTTTATTGTCAGTTATATGATTCTGTAATTAAACTGTTTTGTTTTACACCTGGATACAATCTGATGCACTATAAACATTTCATCACAATATGTTCCTAAATGACTGATTCATGGCCCACTGCCTACCAATCTTTCCATTCATTAGGAACTCTCAGGTGCATTTAAATTCAAAGTGTTTCTTGATGTCATTGACAGTCTCTGTCCCTACCAATTCAACATGGCAACCAGAAATAACAAATTATAAATAACCAAACCAAGCATAGACAGAAAGATAAGAAAATCACTGAGAAAGTCGAAAAAATTTTCATTAAGAAAATTTATCTTTTCAGACAATTTTTTCTATACAATTATTTAAAATAATAAGATTGAAATGGATTGTCACAGACACAGAATCACTTAACAAAGACCAGGTAAGGCACAAACAAATTTTTACTAGTGTTGGGGCATCAGCCTTGTGCTTTTGGTGCACACTGCATTGGCAATGGCTGAGAGGGCAGTACATAAAGGAAATCTGACATTGTTGTATTACAATTTCTTTCTATCTCTTAGGCACTACAAGTTACACCTGCATCATGATGACTACTGAATGAAATTCTGTTCAAATTAAACTTAAATAGGAGTCTATATCAATTTAAATTTAAAACAATTTGAAGACAAAATATCATAAAACTATTTCCTGTGAAATTTTAACAGCATTTATTTTAATATATTAGACAAGAGTGGACAGTGGACAAGCATGTTTAAGTAATATAGGGAGTAGCATTTAAAATAAGTTAAATGGACAAAGAGGAAGACTTCATGATGAAACCTACACACATGTATATACAAAGCTATATTCAACTAAAAAAAAAAATTTTGCAAGGCAGTAGCATTTTGAAATATTTTTGATTGAATATTCTTTTCTTCAGTGATAGCTGATAATGCTTCGTAGATTATCAAACCCATGCATGTACAAATTTGAATATCCTTATGTAATCAAATACTAAGTCAGATGATGTAAACCCTTAAGGCTGGTATAGTAAATTCTAAAACTCACAAATAATAAATCCACCAATTCATTTTGCCTACTGCTTAAGACATTGATGTCACAATTTTCAGTGAACTTTGTTACCCTGTGCCTATAACATTCATGTTGAAATGTAAACATTGTTCAAATTTACGAAATTTTGATATGAGTCAACAAGAAAAAAATTCTAAAATTCCCAAACCTCTTTGTGTGAAAGAATATGGTGGCTAAAGCATAGAAACAACTTACTTGAAAACATTTTCATAAAAGAATTTTATTGAATATCTCTGCTGCAAAACTGACATACAAACTGGACATAAAAAGTGATGGATTGAAATTTTACTTCAATTATCAATAAAAATATTTTCAAAAACTGAATCTATTTTACAATAAAGTACAGAAGCTAAATTAACATGCCAATCTCCCAGATTTACTCTCATTTACCAAGTGTTCGAGTAGTCTTGCTGGTGAGTTGCTTTAGAAGAGAGGGATGAAAGAAAACTGAGTGGTACTAAGAGAAGCAAGAGATCCAAATTCGGTTTCCTGAAGTGAACATAAATCTTCCATTTTGGAGGGGGTAGATCTATGCTGGAAACCAATAAGGCAGCATATGAACGTGACTGAAAGCTCCAGGGCAGTAGGGATGCTGGAAGCTAGCAAAACACGATGATATGTTGCAGAATGAATCCGTGTTTCACAGAGCATCATCGGTCCTCTATGGAACCAATATTTGCAGATGGGTAAGGTCCAAAGAAGACCAAAATCAGGATGTCCAAATCGTACCACAACCCATGAGGAGTGTTATTTGGCCAACATTGCTAAAAGAAAATGCTTTCAAAGTGCAATAAAGCTAAAAGCTGACTTCCAGAGAAGAACAGAAAGACAAATTTCTACTCAAGCTGTGAGATATAAACTACATCAGACTATTCTCAAAGCATGCAGGCCAGCCGTATGTCCCAAATCAAAACTTGCTAATGGGCAGCATGAGAAGACGTTGTAGAGCTGTCATTTCTTCGTGGGGAGGTTGTACAAAATACCAACAAACATTGTAAAAAGATAAAGAGTCTAAATTATTTTTTATATGTTTACAGATGTGCTAGAAATAGTGTGTTTTTCTGTATGCATGGAAAGAAAGTTTTGAGATTTTTGTTTATCACTATGAATTTTGCTTCAAACTGACTTTTAAGTCTGTAAATAGAATGATGAAAAAACTTCATAAAAAGCAACTTTTTTTCATTACAAGAATGCATTTTCTATGATCCCTAATTTTTTTGTCCAGTATACATCCTCAAATAACATGACTTTTAGCGGATGTCACTTTTCTAGCACAAAAAATATCTCTGCTTTTTCTGATTTTGTCATAGTTGCATGTTCAAGAACTATCCGAAAAGTTTAGAACTGTGGAATCCAAAGTTGTCAAAGTTTGAAGAAAAAAATTTAATATGTCAGATGGTGAAATGCAGGGCGAGCGCAGTGTCATTTTTTTTCATTATTTATTTTTTAAAACTCTCTACACCTCTCTAATATTGTTTTTCATTCTGTTTTTGATGTTACACATTTTAGTAACAACTTTAGCCTGCATTTACTGTGTATCATAAGTTTATCATTTTTTAAAAACGATATTTATGAAAAAATAGAAATACTCTCTTAGTTTGATTACTACCCACACATCGGGATCAAGATTCTAAATTTCTCGGATTTTTTCTGACAAAATCGGAAATACCCGAGTCGTTTAAGTGACGAAAATATGACTTTACATACCAAGTCTTGTTTACTGCTGATGCAAACAATAATTTATTGGCATGGAAATTGCATTTAATTCTTATTTGTAATTTTTCCAGGTAAGTTGTTGCTATGCCTAAACCACCATGTTGCTATCCACCGCAAAGGATTATTGGGAATTTAGAATTTTTCAATTGGCCTGATAAAAAATTTATTTGAACAATGTGCAAATTTCAGTCTAAAATTGCTCCATTTGTACACGGTGTCTATGGAGCTTGCTGCAATTTTTTTAATAGTGATAAAATCATGTTTAAAAAATGACGTTACAAGTCACAATAAACACATGCTACAGGAATTTGTTTAAATTTGCTAATTTTCAAGGGAATCATCATTACAGAGATGTCAATTATTACACAAATTAAGATACTGTTGCCCTAGTGGTTTCACAGTCGGACTTATTAGGATCATTTGGAAATATTTTTTTACCCCACACACACTTCATCAACGCATTGAGTCTTCTGGTCTGCAACCAGTAAAAAAAAAGATAGAATTGAAATTAAGCTTCAACTCATTACTGTAAGCTTGGTTTGGTGATAAAGCAAAAGATGATTTTTTTTTTTATTACTTCTTGAAAACACTAAATAAACTCGTCTTTTTTTAAAAAAAAAAAACAAAACATGACATGTCGTACTTTTGTGGCAGATTTCACTTCAATCTTCCTGAGCAGCTGAAGTCCCACCTCTTCGTTGTCCGCCATATTACCGTCATGTGACAGAGTTCTTCACACTACTTAAAATAAAACCTGATTGGAGTAAATGGAAAGGGCTTGTAGAAAAAAGACCAATGAAAGTAGATGTCTTTGACAAGTTTAGTCACGTTCACACATTCAATAAAACGATAACACTAATTGGACAATTTGGTAGAGACTACCAATCATATCCAAGTTTACAAATTTGTTTGGTCGCTAATGAAATGTTGTCTGTATTGTTGAAAATAGAGCACCTGTACTAGATCGATAAAGGAAAATGGTCGTCAGACAGATGTTATGATTTGTTTTGAAATATTGGATTTTGTCCAAACATGTGATTTATGGAATGGCTAGCCCCATTGGTCAAGAATATGTCAAAAATCTTGAAAGAATATAGCTGTGACGCAATGACGTGGCTTTGTTGATCTGTGAACGGATTTTTTTTTATCTGCTGCAGGAAATTGTGAAATAGCGGAACTGGCATAGTGATTCTCAGTTGTCAAAATAGCATGTAGATGTCAGCATGATTTGACAGTGTTACGATTTTTATTTTGTCCAAAACTCCACTACTCTATCTGTTAGTAAATACAAAACGAAATGGGCAACCTTATTAACAAGAGTAACAAATCGGGACCAGGGTTTAGGACAGTAGTACCAAACCATGTGGTTGGGGACATTCCACCCAAACACAAAAGTCACCCTAACCGAGACTATCGCAGCAACAGAATCAAAACCACCAAGTACTCTGTGCTGACATTCCTACCCAAGAATTTATTTGAACAGTTTCATCGATTTGCCAATTTATATTTTATATTAGTTGTGGCCTTGAATTGGGTCCCTCAGGTTCAGGCCTTTGGGAAGGAGATAGCTATGATACCTGTGATATTTGTACTTGCTGTCACGGCTGTGAAAGATGCATTTGAAGACTTTAGGCGATATAAATCTGATAGAAAAATCAACCATCATGCTTGTCGACGATATTCTAGGTAAGATAGTTCACACTTGAGAATGTGATTCTTGTGGAAACAAAGTGAGTGTGAAACTCTGGCAGAAAAATGATTCCTAATTTAAAAGAACATTCTCACATTTAAGCATTTTAGAGAGCATCAGATTACTCCATTCCCACAACCCTGACATGCAAAGAGTATTAAGACCCTAGTTTCTGCTACTTTAACCCTACACAAGTTTCTGATACACACTTAAACATATTTCTCTTTATATCCCTTGCTGGTACAGTAGTACTGCCTGAACTCAGCTGGACACAACTGTCTTACAGTTGTGGGTGTAATTTGGACAGTTATGCAGAGTTGTTGAGGCTAAAATAAAAAATACCTTTGTTTCCCCTAACATGACCGACCCAATTAAATCCGGCCAACTGAAAAGTTTTTTAAAGAAGATTATTCAAATATTTTTTTTTAAAGTTTATCAACTTTTATAAAATACAATTTCATCAAAACCCGTTCTTATCAGAAAATCAGAATGTATTTTCAAAGCTGCTGTCAGGAAAAAAAATTATTTACCTACCTACCTACCCAACTTCAGATTTTAGGGTCGGGTTAGGGGGAACAAAGATATTTTTAATGATGGCCTGAAATTTTTAAATCACTATTAAACATTTGGTTTGACAAAGTCAAATGTTCTGTCGGACCGAATGAAGTTTTGTCAGACCTGAGTTACGTGTACCATATTTTTGTACACTGAGAAAGGAAAACAAATAACTGACCAAAATGCCCTTCATTATTTTCAATAGCCCTCAATCTCACAAGTTTTTTTTTTCATAGGATAGAGAGTCTTCAATCAGAGTTATAAGTATGATTTGTGTCACTGCTTTAACAAATTTGATTGACTATCTTCACCAGGCAGCATCTCTGCTGTTTTGTGACTTTCACCTGCTCACCCCATCCCATCCTTTAAAAATTTGCATCACACTTAATTTTTTCAAACGGTTATTTGGACATTTTCTTGTTAGTTATCGGTTCCAGACAAATCTTTTACAAATTCCTTGATGAAAGGGCTGACAGTTTTTGACAACTCTGAGTCATGTACATGTTTTAGTAACACTATTGTTCATTTCCATTAGAATTCTTTTGGAGAAAATTTAATCTGTAATTTTGAATTTGCCAGAAAAGTGAAGTGAATTTCCAGTTAGCAAACATTTGATAATAATGTTTTGTGTATTTATTGTGCTAATCATACTGATATTGTCTGTACCAGAGCAGGGCATACACTAGAATGTCTGTTTCCCTTTATCATGTTTAAATGTGATGCAAAACTCCGCATTCAAGTCAGTTTCTGGTTTATTTCAAATGCTATCAAATCCAAACTTTCATATTTTGTGTTAATACATGTATGTTGATATATCTGATGCTATTGCTGCATTTGTTCCATCTTATACTTGTGACTTGTCCGATTCTCCTTATGGTAGAATGAGAGTAGGAATATAACATACAATGTATGCTTAAGAACACATACTACAAACAAAGTAGTGGATGCATGGATTGGTCAATATTTTTGGACGTAAATATTTTGGTTGCAAACGATTATTATATCAAATCTCTAAAATCTTAGGAAATTGTAGAATTTCTGTGGTGTTCATATTTTTTTCTTTGTGCCATCATCCTTATAAATCTACTAGATACAGTTTGTTACAACTATACAGGACATTTTTGAGAAACTTTGAATGAAAAATAAACCTTTATGTGATTAAACTTAATATTCATTTTACTTTTATAAACATACCGGGTAGATTCATCTGCCATTTAGTGACTCCAGAACTTTATAAAGACATTGTTGACAACAATTTTACTGTAGCAGGCTTTATCATGTTTATGTTACTTGGAATAGGAATTTGATGTGATTTGGGAATACCAAGAACAGTTAATAACGTGTCAAAACAGTTAAGATTTTTTTAATTGTGACAATTTCTAGAAAATGTAAAATTAATGCAGATTTGATTCATCTCAACATGAGTTTAATGTTAAGAGGAACAGGAAATTCAAGTAAACCACAAAGGATAAAAAAGGTTTACAGTCCTATTTAAAACAGAGAAAATGAGAGATTCTTGAATCACACACTTTAAATTTCTGTTTGTTCACAAAAGGGACAATTTGCCTTTCTACAATACATGATCCAGAGAAGTTTTGCATGAGAAAAAAAAAATGTTTGTGTTACTGACCCATTCAAAAAGCCCCTACCCAATTTTGTTTTACTTTAAATTCTTTTTTGTTTGTTTGTTTGTTTTTTTTGTTTGGTTGGTTTATTTTGCTTGTTTTTTTTTTTTTTTTTTTTTTTTTTTTAGTTTTTTTATTTGTTAGTTGTTTTTAGGAACAGATCATCTGTATTGTTTTTAAACTTAAGATTTATCATTTCCCTTATGTCTAAGAAAGCCTTATAGATTCAAAGTTTTTACTGCAGTAAATATTAAATCTGTATACTTAATTGTCTGATGTATAATGAAAACATCAATAATTATAGATTTCTTAGTTTGTGATTTTTATGATGTTTATCAATGTGTTAGATGATTTTAAAAAAAGCTACCTACCTACCTGCCTTGAAGAATGAGGGTCAGAGCACATAAAAAAGTGTTTTCATGATGACGTGCTGTTTATAAAATCTGAGTACATCTTCTGATGATACCCCCATTGTCCTCATTGCCCCTGACATGTACTCTGGTCCCCTCATTGTCCCTCAACATACTCAATGCCCCTGACATGTACTCTGATACCCTAATTGTCCCTCGATGCCCCTGACATGTATAGCCTCTACTGGTACATGTGCCATGAAGGTAACAAAAATGTTATTTGTAACATGTACATTGCTGCCTATACTTCCAGTAAGACTAGATCTCCTGTATTATAGGGTCTGATAACTGACTTTATTGTTTTTGTTGTAGTTCTGACAAGCGATACGTTAAGAGTGAGTGGATGGAGATCCATGCGGGGGATTTTGTACACCTGGCCTGTGATGAAATCATTCCGGCCGACATTCTACTGCTTCATTCCAGTGATCCTTTAGGAATCTGTCACCTAGAAACCAGCAACCTAGACGGAGAAACCAATCTTAAACAGCGACAGATCGTCCATGGACTGAAATATGAAAGGGTAGGTCAAGGTCAAATTGCCAGGAAAAACAGATTGTCCATGGACTTAAGTACAAGAGTATAGGCCAAAGTCATTGTATAAACAAAGATTGTCCGTGGACTTAAATACAAGAGTGTAGGCCAGAGTCATTGTATAAACAAAGATTGTCCATAGACTTAAATACAAGAGTGTAGGCCAGAGTCATTGTATAAACAAAGATTTTCCATGAGAGTAGGTCATAGCATTAGGGAAAAAGTCTGGTACTGAGGTCTTTCCTAGATTTAAAAATTTGGAAGGATACCGCGTGTCAGGGTCGCAGTATAAATTGTGACCATATGTCCTCAACTGAACTACAGAAAGATAAGGCCTTAATATAAACATTGACAGATTGTGCACAGACATAAATATTGAATCACTGTCCATGTTTATAGACACCATAGATTAAGCAATGTTGTGTTCTAAATTTTGACAAGATTGTAGATCCTGTATTGTTCATTGATACTACATGTATGTTTTTTCTACCTGGTTAAGAGGTAATTTCATCATGGTAATTTTATTGTGATTTCAATTTATTGGGCATTAATCCATGAATTACAAATATAGAAAGGCAAATTTTAATGGAAAAAAGGCATTTATTTAACAAATTCTTAGCAAATACAAAGCATTGTTACGTGTTTGGGTCCGTGTATTTAGGTTTAGATCCTTAATCAAGACAGTGAATAAAACAAATGATTTTATAAACCAAAGATGGATCAACGAATTCTAGCAAATGATTAGAAATGATAGGTGACAAGGCATGTGAAAATGAACAAGTCAACATATACAGATATACTGGGATTTCATATCCCTAACATATAAGCATACAACTGTCTTTAATCAAGTACATGTAATGGTATAGGTCTCACATGTATCCATACCAGGACAGGTACAGATCTCAAAGCCAGGATTGTGCCCAGTACTAGGACAGGTACGTTTCAGAGGTTTCTGTCTTATGCCCAGACAGATCCCAATAATTATTCTGAGGAAAAGTAATTATGACTTTATTAATTAATCCTCAAATAAGTAAACCAAGTATACTAGACACTGTATACTTTATTATTATACAAGCCTGATGAACCTCCAGAGTACTTCACTATTACACCTCTGACAACCTTCTTCCTCGAGCTCCAACTGGCAACTGCCAGCTTCCTACAGAAAGCTCATATATAAACCCATATATACCCGGACTACCCTTGGCCGCTATCGTTACGATAAAGTCCGGCTGATATAATGTATAAGGACATCCCGAGCCCGATCTCTGTCACAGATTCCTGCAATTTTCAACTCTTTTAATTTAGGCATTAAAAGAAATTGATGTAAAACTTTAGATTTTCTCTTAAGAGTACATATATTTAGTAGATAAGCTGGATCAGGCAAACAAGGGTATGTTAAAGTCTCCAGGATATTTTGACCCAGGGGCCATGAATTTCACAAGTTTGGAAGAGGCATCCTCATTCAACATAATCTTGCACTTCATTTGTCTACTTAATAACCAGGAACGAAGAAGAAGATTTTTTTTAAAGAATTAATCCCTATCGATGTAAAACTTAAAAATTTCCCATAAAGTATATTTATTTAATAGATTAGCTGGGTCATGCAAACATGGGTATGTTAAAGTCTCCAGGATATTTTTTAGCAAATCATTGAATGTTTTATGTGGAATACACAATTCCGGTCTCAGCTGTGATACCATCTGTGTCATTAGTTAGCCTGGTAGCAATTTCATAAGCATGTAAGTAGATTAATGTTGATAGATAGGACTCTAAGGGTCAGAGAACTCTCTAGAATATAACAAAGAGGTGACTATGTGAAGTACATATATATAAGATATCATATTTAATTAAATACACATTGTATAGCATTATTAGACACAAAATAAATCAGAATAGAATGACTTTCTGTCCTCTCTACCATGAGTAGTGTTCATGACACTGCTTGACTGTATAGTACTACCTCTGTAATATTGATCTAAGATCTGTGTGGCTGAAGACACACTTCTAGACTTCTCTTAAAATAATAAAAAAAACTTGTTAATTACTAAGTCTAGTCAGAGTTGAGGCTATTGGGCAATCTCTGATTTTTGGAAATATTAAATGGACAGGCACTACAGACATTCCATTCAGAAGTTCTTTATCTGAATACAGCCTGACATTTAAAGGTTGAGGTATTGATTTAAGGTGTGGCAGCTTGTAACAGGTGAAGTGCATGTGTTACATATTGTGACATTGGTATAGAATTCACAGCCAGAGCAGTAAATGTTGAGGTATACACCATCAAAAGTTCATCCACCCAGTATCTGTCATAAACTCTGCAATCAGAAAGTGACATAGCTCCTATTGGGGGGGGGGGATATGGGGAGGGGCTCCTATTGGGGGGTATATGGGGAGGAGCTCCTATTAGGGGGTATATGGGGAGGGGCTCTTATTGGGGGGTTATATGGGAAGGGGCTCCTAATCGGGGATATATGGGGAGGGGCTCCTATTGGGGGATATATGGGAAGGGGCTCCTTTTTTGGGATATATGGGGAGGGAATCAGAAAGTGACATAGCTCCTATTGGGGAGTACAATAAGTTTAAGAAATGAATAAGAATCTTCAGGGTTTTTTTTTTATTCTTTTATGTAATTAGCATGATTAATCTCTGACTAAGGAATAGTTATAATTTACATAGTTTTCAATAATAAATGTGGTAACTAGCATCAGTCTTCATTTATTATATGTATTTACTGGGGAGATGAACTTAAACCAGAATTATTTTCTATTTTTGTTCCCTCCAACTTTCCCCTTTCCCTTTGCACTAGCTGTTTGATCCTGATTATAGGTTAAGAAGCAGTGACTCTAATTCAGATGAGGTGATTGGGGGGATGAATTTTAACAAGAATTCTTTTTCTGTTTTTGTGCCCTCCCACTTCCCCCTTTCCCTTTGCAGTATTCTGATCCTGATAATAGAAGCAGTGGCTATAATTCAGAAGAGATGATTGTTTCCCTTTTATATCAGATGCCTCAAGGTATCCCACCCCACTTTTCATGTTTTATGTTGAAGACAAACATGATAAATAATTAACTTTATGACATTAAAAAAACTCTAGAAGATTCTTCCCTATCTCTCTGTATATAAGATAACCGGACTGCACCCAGAGGTGTAAATAAACAAAAGGGGTCACATCAAGACACAAGATTTCCCACTTACTGGGTTATCACAATTCATCAGGACCTGATGTTGATTGTTGTTTTGATAAGACGATGCAATATTAAACATGTTAAATAGTGACATATATTATTATAACCATGATAACTAGAAATCAGTAGGTTACACAGATGTTTATTTGTAGTGAAGAGAGAAATTATTGAACTGAATATATACAGATGTAAAACAGCTACGGTTACTAATAGTTTTAGATGATTACTTAATTTTGTACATTATACTAAAAGTGCTGTAATTCATTTGCAAATCTAAAATGGTTACTTTAGCATTATGTAAGAGGATTGTAACATTGATCAACTGTACACTACATAGTAATTGATGCACAAAATGAAATAAAGGACATAATTTAAGCACTGGAAACAGAAATTTTTGTATAGTTGTATGAAATAAATTTTTAATCAATTTATAGACTTCCAAAGTCATATTGCCTCTTGCTCTTTCTTAAGCCCTATTGAAATTAGGAAATTATTGTAGTTTTAAATTTCATTAAAGCTGGGGTCTGTGTTTACAGATCAATCCCTAGCCCTGTTCTATTCTATTTTTATGGCGGTATCCAATCATAGCATCAAATATTAACTCCAAAATTTAGGAGTCATTTTTTGTAAACTTTGCTTCTTTAGTTTTTACATTATAAGAGGAGACAGAGAGACTTTTGGATTTGTTTCTTTAGTTGCCTTTCAACCACTCAAGTTTTAAAATAAAATTTAAAATTTAAGCTGATGACTTCCCCACCCTCTCCACTTTCCAAATGATGAACAGCATGCAGAATACAATAAATTTATTCAAATCCAAGTGGATAAGAACTTTAGAAGAGAAATTTCTAAAATGGACTTGACAACTTTACTTTCTTTGCTTTCAGAAAAAGTTTGCTGTGGAAAAATTTAAGTACAACGTAGAGTGTGAACTTCCTAATGCTGAAATTTACAAATTTAATGGCTTCATGTAAGTATTTGATTTATCTACATTATTTAACTTATTTCAGATTTGGATAGGTTAATTTAAACTTTCACCATTTCAAAACCTGGGACATGCTGCATATTGAAATAAATTTACCTCATATTTCATATTACCTCATATTTCTAAAGATGAAGTCAAAGTTTGTACTGGATACACCTCCTCCATTATAAGGGGATAATTGCAGAGGACTGATTATTCTGTATTAAATATGATTGGTTTTTGATACCGATTTCACTAATTAAAAAAGTAGTTTTAGGGAAAAAATATGTTCATGTTTAAAAGCCTGATTGCAGGAAGTGTGATACTGTTTGGCTTTAAATTCTCCTTTTCACTGAAATGAAAAGTCAAGGATTGTAAACTTTATTAATAAGGTAACAGTCCATAAACAGGCAGATGTTTGGGGTATTGAGTTTCAGAGGGAATGAATGGAATGAGGAAGTTAGACTCAATTGGCTTCACATGTTTATGACCAGCTTTTAGATTTTGCTGATCTTTTAGATCTAGGTATCCAAACTTTTCCATTTCTTTTTAAATTTATTTTGAGGGGCTTTAGTTATCCAAGCATTTCCATTTTTCATAAAAGTGTAATCTGATGAAAAGGCATATTCCTTAATTAACAATTGGAAGTTCAGAAGATCAGTGTTTTCTGACCAATGTCTTAGAGAACCATTTCCTTGATAAAACTCTGGTGGTCATGGTTACTAGTTGATCCCTATTGATTTTTTGGTAAGAAGGTCAAAATTCCTATGGTTTTCTACTATACCCATACCCTGTGATTTCCAGCCAATGTATTGGGAAGCTTTATTGACAGTCATAATAATTCATATTAAAATGATAAAGGTTGGCTGGGATAAGAAGACATCACTCCATTTCAAAGGAGTAAGGGGAGCAAACATGTTTTGCATCATTTCTTGTTCCTTAATAGTTTCATTAAATAGTAAGTCACAGCAAAGCAATTCCCTAAATATATGTAAGACCAGGTCCAGGAAAATCACTATATTTAGCTATATAGCTTAATTTACCTATATAGCTTTATTTACCTATATAATATAGCTTTATTTAGCTATTTTAGAATAAGTTTCTGTTTTATGAAAAGCAAACAAAAAGTCGCATGAAAATTATGGCTGATATTTTTTTAAAAAGGTTTGATAAACACAACCTAGGGCATAGATAGTAAAAACATTACCTCTTTTAAACACTTTTTAACCAAAAAATGCATCTCTATTGTTTGGATAGCTGTCCATTACTGGAAGTGCGATGAGGCATGACTAAGTGTGATTGCCTTGCATTGTGCTGAATTATTACCAATCAATTATCTTGTTGACCAAAACTGCTTTTCTTTGTTAAAGTAGCTGCTTATTCACAGATTAACTGTTATACATAGCCCCAAAACTTTTAGATCTTTGACTGCAATTGCACAAAAGGAGAAACATTTTTAAAAGTGGGTTTTTGGTGAATTGTTTTCAGTCCATTTCAAAGTTGAAAACTAATACTGCCTCATTATGCGACTTTTTGTCTGCTTTTCATAAAACAGAAATTTACTCTGAAATAGCTAAATAAAGCTATATTATATAGGTAAATAAAGCTATATAGGTAGATTTAGCTATATAGTAAAAATATAGTGATTTTCCTAGACCTGAAGACTACACATAATATTATCACATGTCAGAAATGACAAGGGATGTACATGTACTAATAAAGCTGGGCACACATTTAAGGTACATTGACCCTCTGATAAGAGAGATAACTTGTGTTATTCCTTTGAAAAATTGTCCAGTTACAAGGCGATTCTGTCAAATTTTGCACCAAAAGGTTCACATTTCAATTAAAAGTTTAATATATTTTTTAAAATTATTTATATATTTTTTTTTTAATTTTTTTTTTTTTGGGGGGGGGGGGGGGGGGAATTACTGGATATTATCTTTAAAGCAAAATTTTGTATCCATAAGTTAATGGTGGGATGATGAACTTAATCATCAATGTAAATTTGAAGTTACTTTTTGTTATTGTTGGGAAAAAAAAAGGTAAATGTAATCTGGGGCACTCGTAGCCTTTATAATTGGTGTGATCTGTTTTGTAGTAAACTGGAGTCGGGAGAGAAGGTGTCTCTCAACAAAGACAATCTCCTACTTCGAGGGTGTACCATAAAAAACACCGACTTTGTGGAGGGGATTGTTTTATATGCTGGTAAGTCCACATCTCGGTACTTGAGATCCTGGTCTTATAGAAACCTTGTTTATTTTTTAGATTAAAAACTCATTTATTATGTTTCTTATCAGATATTAAATGTTCATTAACTGAAATGAAATATAAATTGTACTAATCTTAAGAGAAACAAGGAAATCCTTACATGTAGATATACGTACTTTCTTATTAATTTTTTTTTCTTGTCACAAACATTATTTTGTTTTAAGAATTTAAGAATCACTGTAACTTTTGAAAACTAGAAATGATTTTATATTATTGCTTATTTCTTTGGATGCATTGAAATCTTTTTCAATTAAAAAGCTTTTTTTATGGAAACACTTTTCTCAGGTCTGAAACCTTGTGTTAAATAGAATCTGCTATAAACATGATAAGCCAGATGCCACAGAGAGTTGAATCAGGCAGTAAAGCAGAAATAACGTTTCCAATGAAGTCCCGACTTCTTGATTAAAGGAGATGATTGCTTTCATTAATTTCATTGTTAAATTTCAGGACATGAGACCAAGGCTATGTTAAACAATCGTAATCCGCGCTACAAGAGAAGTAAGCTGGAGCGACGTATTAATCGTGACGTAATCTACTGCGTTATCCTCCTATTGTTCCTGTGTCTGTTTTGTGCCATTGGTAAGGAACCGTGGACACAGATTTTATAAGCTTTTTCCTATTGCGTAGGATATTAATATATTATTTATGTAAGAAATTAATACATTGTAATATTATACATTATTCATTGAAACTGCTGTTAAAATGGCTTAGACGATTGTTCAAATGTGAAGATCAGCTGATCAATCTGCCATTAATTCCTGATAGAAATCATTTACTGTAAACAGGAATATTTATATACATGTATATTGTTAATTACATGAATAATATAAGAAGAAAAAACCATATACCAGGCTAATGTATTGTTAATACTACATAAAATACATGTATGTATAAAACAACATGCAGGGAAATAAACATGCCAAAGACTTCTTATCGCATATTATAGAATAAATTACTCCCACACATAAATTCCCACATTTACAATATTTTTTTATCTCTCCAATCAAAATCTGATGCTAAATGGAACTCATTGCATACTCTGCATTAGAAATTAAAGAGGACATATTTTTACTGTAGCCAGTGGAATATAGTTGTTTAACTTTAAAAACATCTTTGTTTTTTGTAGCCAGTGGAATATGGTTGTCTAATTTTGAGGACAGTACGACTGTCCTTTTTATCCCGTTTGAGAGCCTTGAGTGGTACAACCCGTATTTCCAGGGTTTTGTTGTCTTCTTCACCTACATTATCATTTTTCAGGTGAGTGTATATGTACAGGTGAATTATTTATGCCCCCCCCCCCCCAATTAAGATGCATCTATATTGATAAGATCATTTATTTCTTTGTAACAGTTAATTCCTTATTCTTTAACTCTGTGACCATAAGTTTAAAATCATTTTGTTGGCCTTGACCCAGTTAAGTGCCGTGACCTTGACACAGTTTATCTCTGTTACTATTAATACACCTACTGTTATTGTAGACTGTGATACCCAGTTAAGTGTCATGACATTGACCCAGTTAAGTGTCATGACCTTGACCCAGTTGATTTCTGTTACTATTAATACTCCTCCTGTTATTTTAGACTGTGATACCTCTCCCATTATATGTCTCAGTGGAAATCGTCAAACTAGGTCAAGTGTACTTTATAAATAACGACATTGAGCTTTATTATGAACCAATGGACAAACGGATGGAGTGCCGAGCATTAAATATTACCGAGGATTTAGGTCAGATTGAGTACATCTTCTCAGACAAGACCGGCACTCTCACAGAGAATCAGATGGAGTTTAAGTCGTGTACAATAGGTGGGACCGACTATCCACATACTCCAGGTATGTTGTACATTAATTAGATAAAATTCTTACATAGGAATCAGTCTGGAGATGGTCTTTGTTTTTATTACCAGTGAAATTGACATATTAAGGGCACATGCAACGTACTTTACAAAATTGTAATCTGCTGGTTATTTTTCGGAATATTATCAGTTTAAAATCATAGTACCATCAGATGTTCATAGAAAAAAATCAGCATACATAACCAGGGGTTTTAAAAAGATATCACATGATAAAAATCCTTCTGTTTTTCATTAAAAAAGATCCCAAAATTACTAAATATATAATTTCAGCTGAAATTTCCTCAAAATTTGTCTGGAATGAGGTATACAGCATCATAAGAGTCAAAACTTATTGGAACTCTTAATTTACAGAAAATAAGAAAATAAAGCTCAGAACTATGTTGCGTATGTCCTTATCACAAATTTTGAAGTTCCCATAGAGCAACAGGTAAATGCTGGTTTGTTTGACTTTGTGTTTACAGAATTTGAGGAGGAAGATGATTTTAGTGAGACAGGCAGCAGGTACTCTCTGGCCAACATCAGCAGGACAAGCTCAGTAGGTCACTTATAAATCCTATCTCAAATCTCAACCCGCATCTCTTTGGTGATTAAACAGTTCAGTTAATGATCAGACTACTGGTTAAAGAGAAATCTCTTTTTCTTGATCTCGTAACTTGTTCACAGTAGCTGGTTTGACCAATAATCTTGTCCATGATCAAAAAACTGATTCATGATCAAATAGTGTAAATTAACTTTCTTTCACAAGTGGCAAACCTTTATCATGATAATGAGAGTTTAAAGAGGATGCCAAAGGGTGAACATCATACAGTTGTTGACTGGGGTAGAGGGAAACAGTCAATCTGTTGGACAGGAGTGCAAGCTGTTGCCCAAGGCTGTAGGCCGTGGGCAACAGCTTGCACTCCGGTCCTACAGATCGACTGTTTCCAGAGACTCCTGTCAACAACTGTTTTGTTATGCTTCTACCAAATCAAGTTCATAAATTTGACAGAAAATAAAACTGTTTTGGGAGAGAGAGACTTTACATGTATTAATCAACATTTTTGTATGTTTACTGTCCCTTCTTTCAAGTATCGCCTGGATTTTATCCTCGTTCACTGCAGCAAAATGAACATCTGCCATTTCTGTTTATCTTAACGACAGGTTTAGATTAATCGGCACTCCTCGGCTGATTACATTTAACTCACGGTTACCTGAATCAGCCGAGGTTTGCCGAATGAGGAAAAGATAACTCAATTTAGTTCCATTTGACGTCAGCGGGCAACAGTCTTTTTTAACAGTCTATGACAGTCGGGGAAAACAGTGGAACTGTTGGACTTTTTAAAGTAAGAAATTATATAGGGACTGTTTAGTAGGGGTATAACAATTGTTGCTGTGAATGTGTATATTATTTCAGTAACATGAAGCAAGGGTATGAAAGCTTGGGAGAGAGATATTTTAGAAACAAAATTTACATACTTATTAGATATGTCAAAGGACAAAAAAGATATTAATCAAGACGGAATGTTGGTTATGTCAAAGGACAAAAAAGATATTAATCAAGACAGAATGTTGGTTTACAGTAGGTACTGTGAAATCTCATTTTCGTGGGGGGTTAATTTTCGTTTTCAACGTATGAAGACACCCACAAATTCATGTTCACCACGCAAGGTAAAATTTTGTATACATGACTACTTATCAATTCTTCATTTATGAAATTAAGTCCCCATGAACCAATATTTTTTCTCAAATCACGAGAAAATTGACCCCAGGAAAATATGTGATTTTACAGTAATTCCTGATTAGCAATAGATCTATGAATAAAGAACAAACAGGTTGTAGGTCCTTGTCATTGTATAAAACACAAACTCAGCAAGAGATTTTCAAAGTCTCAACTGATTTATCAATATCTTTCTGGAGAAAAGTTGATTTCACGAGTAGGAGAAAATCAGCAGCAAATTACTACATTAGTTTGATAATTCATTAAACATTTCATATCACTGACTGAAAATGTTTGTTTGGTTTCTATTCATTTGATAAAGATGCACATGCATTGATAATTTGTGATGCACAGACATATTGACAGTTTCTTGAACATTTGATAAAGCTTGTAGTATTAAGACAAGTTCCTTATTTATTGATGTAGATCATGGATATACATATTGAGCCACGTATTACGCATGCTTTGACAAGCAATTGGAGTCTACATTTTAAACATGGAGGAATGCATAATCACTCCAAAACCATACAGGAATTTTTCCTCAATATTGCGTTATGCAACACTGTCATTGTTAGTAAAAGTCATGTAGATACGGTAAGTTTGTAGTGTGTTGTGTGGCTTAACCAATAACATTCTCTCTCTCATCAGGTGATGGAAAATCTCAAACTCGAGCCAGGTCTAGAACGAGAAATCTCCCGAATGTGCCTACGAAGCTTAAACAGTGTTAATTTGGATCTGCCAGAATTTATCTCCCCAAACTCTCAGAGAATTCAAGAGTTTTTCTTACTCATGGCTATCTGTAATACTGTAGTTGTCACACATCATGCTCATGAAGATTTGGTAAGTGGGAAGGTCAAGGTCAAGTCAAGGCCAATTCTAGACAATTTCAGTAATCTTGTTTAGGTAGGGGTATTTATATATTAAGTAATTTCACTGATTTATTAATTTATTTTTTCTATTTCAGATTAATTAAATTATGTGTAAATAAATTTGATAATTTTTAGCTCACCTCGACGAAGTCGAGATGAGCTTATGCTATACCCCCGGCGTTGGCGTCGGCGTCGGCGTCGGCGTTAGCGTCGGCGTCCCGGTTAAAGTTTTAGGAGCAAGTCCCATTCCCAAGTAACTATAAGCCCTACCTTGACCAAACTTGCATGGATGATGCATCTAGGGATGGACACTACCACACTTGCTTCGGATGCTGGATATGACCTAGATTTTCCAGATGATTGACCAGGTTAAAGTTTTTGGAGCAGGTCCATTCCCAAGGAATTATAAGCCCTACCTGGACCAAACTTGCATGGATGATGCATCTAGGGATGGACACTACAACACTTGCTTCGGATGCTGGATCTGACCTAGATTTTCCAGATGAGTGACCAGGTTAAAGTTTTTTGAGCAGGTCAATTCCCAAGTAACTATAAGCCCTACCTGGACCAAACTTGCATGGATGATGCATCTAGGGATGGACACTACCACACTTGCTTCGGATGCTGGATCTGACCTAGATTTTCCAGATGAGTGACCAGGTTAAAGTTTTTGGAGCAGGTCCATTCCCAAGGAATTATAAGCCCTATCTGGACCAAACTTGCATGGTTGATGCATCTAGGGATGGACACTACAACACTTGCTTCGGATGCTGGATCTGACCTAGATTTTCCAGATGAGTGACCAGGTTAAAGTTTTTGGAGCAGGTCAATTCCCAAGTAACTATAAGCCCTACCTGGACCAAACTTGCATGGATGATGCATCTAGGGATGGACACTACCACACTTGCTTCGGATGCTGGATATGACCTAGATTTTCCAGATGAGTGACCAGGTTAAAGTTTTTGGAGCAGGTCCATTCCCAAGTAACTATAAGCCTTACCTGGACCAAACTTGCATGGATGATGCAGATTGTGATGGACACTACCACACTTGCTTCGGATGCTGGATCTGACCTAGATTTTCCAGATGAGTGACCAGGTTAAAGTTTTTGGAGCAGGTCCATTCCCAAGTAACTATAAGCCCTACCTGGATCAAACTTGCATGGAGGATGCATTTAGGAATGGACACTACCACACTTGCTTTGGATGCTGGATATGACCTAGATTTTCCAGATGGGCCACTAGGTTAAAGTTTTTGGAGCAGGTCCATTCCCAAGTAACTATTAGCCCTACCTTGACCAATCTTGCATGGATGATGCATCTAGGGATGAACACTACCACACTTGCTTTGGATGCTGGATCTGACCTAGATTTTCCAGATGAGTGACCAGGTTAAAGTTTTTGGAGCAGGTCCATTCCCAAGTAATTATAAGCCCTACCTGAATCAAACTTGCATGGAGGATGCATATAGGGATGGACACTACCACACTTGCTTTGGATGCTGGATCTGACCTAGATTTTCCAGATGGGTCACTAGGTTAAAGTTTTTGGAGCAGGTCCATTCCCAAGAAACTATTAGCCCTACCTTGACCAAACTTGCATGGATGATGCATCTGGGGATGGACACTACCACACTTGCTTCAGATGCTGGATCTGACCTAGATTTTCCAGATGAGTGACTAGGTTAAAGTTTTTGGAGCAGGTACCCAATTATAAGCCCTACCTGGACCAAACCTGCATGGATGATGCATCAAAGGAAGGACTCTACCATACTTGCTTCAGATGCTGGATCTGACCTACATTTTCCAGATGAGTGACTAGATTAAAGGTTTGGGAGCAGGTCTATTCCCAAGTGATTATTTAAGCCTTACCTTGACCAAACTTTCGTGGATAATGCATCTAGGGATGGACGCTACCACACTTGCTTGGGATGCTGGATCTGACCTAGATTTTCCAGATGAGTGACCAGGTTAAAGTTTTTGGAACAGGTCCATTCCCAAGTAACTATAAGCCCTACCTGGACCAAATTTGCATGGATGATACATCTAGGGATAGACACTACCATATTTACTTCAGATGCTGGATCTGACCTAGATTTTCCAGATGATTGATCAGGTTAAAGTTTTTTTGGAGCAGGTCCATTCCCAAGTAAATATAAGCCCTACCTGGACCAAACTTGCATGGATGATGCATCTAGGGATGTACACTAACTAACCTGCTTTGGATTCTGGATCTGACCTAGATTTTCCACATGAGTGAATTTTAGCCATATTTTAACCAAATTAGCATGAATGATGATGTATCTAGAGATGGACAGTTCCAGACTTACTTTGGATTCTGAATCTAATATTGATGGATATTAATCTTGGAATGTACACTAACTAGGAAAAAAATATGATGTGAGATTTACCTTACTTATAGATAACATTCGTCGAGGTGAGCTTAGTAATCTTTGATTACCTATGTTTAGTGATGTACCTAGAAACATAACACTATTTTTTAGTCATGTAAATTAAAAATCATCATCATTATATTTTCTTTCGTTTTTGCTCCACTAACTTTTTACCTGCTTTTGCACATGCATATTGTTTTAATTGATTTTTTTTGTTTGAAAAGCAGGGTTGCAAAAAAGCACTGTTTACATTATGAATTTTTTTTCTCTTTAATGATCTTTAGATAAAGTTTTGCTATGATGTCTTTCCAAGCTTTTGTGACTTTTGAACATTTTCAGATGGATGATTGCGGATCCATTGTTGAAGGACATTATAGAGGCAGAAATAAGTCACAAGATGACCTAGATAAAGTTAGTCGAAGTGGAGAGACCCCCCAGAAGAAAAGTTTCCCAATATTAAATCTCCCAGACACCCCTATACAACGTAAAGGAGCGCTTCCACCCCTCGGGCAGAGGGAAGTAGGGACACCTCCTCTTTCTAAGAAAAATGGAAATATACATGTACCACCAATTACGATATCTAATTCTGGGGATTTTGACAGATTTCGCGAGTTTGGGATGAGTACACCCTCGGAAGGCAGTATAGCAGGGTCGTCCTATATCTCAGACGGTTCACAGAACAGTCGATACGAGGCGGAGAGTCCAGACGAGCTCGCTCTTGTGAGAGCCGCATGTACCTACGGATGTCGACTAATTAATCGCAGTGTGGATAAAGTCAGAGTCTGGCTACCCGGTAACTTACACCTGTTGTCAAACTTGGTTTATCAAGATTTTCCTGTCAATTTATATACTGTATATATTTTGTATGCATATTGAAAGTCCAGAAGATAAAGGTGATTTATAATCAGTTTCTAGATTACTATTTATTTCAGGTTCTCCCTCCTTTAGCTTTTAATCATAATTCTTTTTTCTCCTTCAGGTGAAGGTGAGGTGGAGTTTGAGATACTTGAGGTTCTACAGTTTGATTCCACAAGAAAGCGTATGTCTGTGATAGTGAAAAACACCAACAACAAGGAACTGGTTATGTTTACCAAGGGTGCCGACACAGCAGTGCTGGGGGTCCTTCACAAAAAATTCAAAGGTAATTCAGATCTTTTGAGCATGTATTTCATGGTTGTATTTTTCCCTATTAATATGATAGATTTTTCACTTGACCTAAATTTTATGTCACTATCTTGAAAGAAAATGCAGATTTTTCCTGCCATCTTGTAATAATGTCATGTCAATGTGTTTGTTGGTTTGTATAAATCAGTAATGGTCTCACACTTTGTTTTATCATGGTTTATAATTTTTTTTTCAGAGGATAAGGAACTACACCGACTTGTTAAAGAGTCGGAGAAACATATACTGAACTACGCAATGCAGGGACTCAGGACCCTATGTATGGCCAAAAAGGTAATAACTCATAAACTCACCAAATTACATACTGCAGCGAGTCAAGTCCCCATTTATGGCCAAAAGGCAATAATTTCAAAAGTCAGTGATATACAAAGCATGGACCAACAATCTTGCGTAATTAAGTAATGCAGGGAGTCAAGACCCTGTGCATGGCCTAATGGTAAAAATCACAAAATTACACAATGTTGGACTTATGTATGGAATAAAAAATTAGAAAGTTTTGAAAGATATAGTCTCATAACTGCAACGGTGTGTGCAAACAAATTGAGTAACTCCTTGCCTTGACTGCAAATGTGATTTATATTCAAAATTCCTGTATTATCCTTCGGATAAGTTACAACTAATGGAAGAGCCATTGCAACAGCTTCTGTCCAATGTGAAAGTGAATTTTGATTTTCGCTTATGACGTTGCACTTCCACGGCTTTCAACATTTGTGACGTCAAAATAAAATGCATACTTTAATCTTTTGACCCCCTGTCCATGTTATGGTGTTTTGAATGCTATAGCTTTGTAAGCAAAATACATGTGGAATGTAAATATAAGCAGGGTTCGACACTAACTTTTAAAGGCTTTAGTCCAGCCGGACTAGTGCTTCATTACTTTTACTAGTCCGCACACGATTTTGTTAGTCCGTCAAAAGAAAGAAACATCAATGTTTTTTAAACATTAATTTAACGTGACAATTAATATACGTCTTATTTTTTGAAATAAACAAAGTATTTACGTGAAACATATTATTCCACAGATTCATTGAAATCTCGCAATCAGCAAGTACGATCGTAATTCCCGATCTTGTTTTTTTTTTTTTTTTAACTTTAAATTACATCCAAAACGTCCAACATCTTTCTTAAAAGTGTCATTCTAAATCATGATCGCTAAAACCTTATACTTCATATCGATCAGTCGAAAAATTAAGCGCTGAACTGACCCGGCATTGCGTAACTACCCGCCAAAAGCTAGAAATCTAAAAATACACGCGGGGTTTTCCAGTAAAAGTTGTCGAGAATCGGACATCGGTAATTTATTCATATTGTTTTTCAGAATTTTTTATTGGTCCGTTCGGACTAATTAGCCACATATTTTATTAGTCCGAATGAAAATGTATCAGTCTGAGACTAACGGACTAACGTTAGTGTCGAACCCTGATAAGCCATTACACCCTAAAATTCATTATACCATACTATACAATATTTAACAATCAGTTATGAGATTTTATTATAAGCGGCTCAAATTTGACAGATTATATGACTATTGGAGATCCAAGATGATTGGACAAGATGAAGCAATCTGAAGTATTTCTCCTATTAAAACTTTTTGGTGAAGGCATTACACAGGTTGCTGATGACCTTGTCTGTTACTATATATATAGATCCTGACACATCTGTTACTATATATAGATCCTGACATGCCTGTTACTATATATAGATCCTGACACTTCTGTTACTATTTAAAGATCCTGACACGCAAGGAGTACGACGAGTGGAAGGTGAAATTTAACGAAGCCTCGGCAGCCATGGACAACAGGGAGGAGAAGATTCTACAGGTGGCGTGTGAGATAGAGAAAGACCTGGAGCTTCTGGGTAGGTCATAGTAGGTCAGAGGTCAATGCTTCAGGGAGGTCAAAGAAGGTCAATCAAGAACTAGGGAAACAGTTAATAACCAGTCCAAATGTTAGTTAGTATAATCAGAGTACAGTAAAAGAGGATTATAGCAAAGTGCCAAGGATGAACAATATTAGTTCATTATAAGGCCAGGTAAAATTAATCTTTAGATTCTCATCCCCGCCCGCCCCTCTCAAAGTGCCCCGCCCCGTTGTTTTTTATTTTGCTTTTTCGGTGCCAAACGTATTATTTTCATGTATTTTTATTCAGCAAGAATCTGGGTCAAAATTTAAGAGTTATCTCCCGTCTGTATATTAAAAGTCGCGTGGCGCTATTTATAGCCAAAAAAAAAAACTATGTTAAGAATGGAGAAATATCGGCAATAAAAGCAGTTTAAATATGTAAGGAAAAGATAATTTGTCAGTAATGAGAAGGCAGAAAAGCAAAAATAACATATAAACACATCTAGATTCCATCACTGGCATGGGCAAGTTTTTAAAGAGATTTTAACCAAGTAAAAACAGACGAAGAAAATACACATGGTCAAGTTTTAAATAACGATCTCCAGATGTATGTGATTTTGCATTTAAAAAAAAAACATCGTCCAAAGACTTTAGAAAATAATAGTGCTAAGGAAATGTTAAATCTTAAAACTGCTCAGGTTTAGGCTTTTCAGTAGAATATTTTACAGATTTACACAATCCTGTTTTGCAAATTTAATGTCGAACATGTCAAGTCTCAAGAACGATTGAATGTATGAGGACAGTGGAAATCTGTGATATCTGTATATCACACAGAACAGAAGGAGTTGTTGGTAAAACTATAAGGTATTTGGGGAAAGGCCGATGAGAAAACATGCATATGCAATTTATTAGGATCAGCACCTCATTTTGTTTGGCGTGTGCCGTATCTTTGTTAATAAAACTATAAATATTTTAATTTTCTATAACAAGAATCTTCTGTAGATATTTAAAAGAATATGAAAACAATAAAATCTATTCATATTGGCATTAACATAGATAATGTAAAAATTAAGTGTACGAATGTGTTGTTGATACTTTCATTTATAAAAAATAAAAAATAAAATCCGCCCACCCGCCCCAATTTTTCAGCAAATTAGGATGAGAATCTAAATTTTAAATTTATATGGCCTAAACGTTGTTCATTTTATCCATTAAGTTAATAAGATGTTTTCTAAGTATCACTTTGTTGTAAGTGTGAATTCAGTGTGAACATGTTTGCGGTAATCATGTTGTACTGTAATAGAAAGATCAAAAGTAACAAAATAATATCATCTACATGTATTAAGGAAAACTTTAAAAAGTTACTAAGTAGGTCAAAGGTCATTATAAGAGACCTGTAGTCTGTGAAAGTTAATTAATCAAAGGTTATGGATATGTTACAGGGACCTTAAGTTACTATGTAGACTGTAATTCAAAGTTCTGACATCTATTTTAGAGGAAAGTAAAAGTAGAGGGAGATATTTATGGAGGATTTTATTTTATTATACCTCCTACTTGAAAGCGGCGATATATAGAGATGGCCATGGGAGTGTTCATCCATCCAGCCGTTACGCTTGGAGTACCCATCTCTTATCTGCAACTCCTCCTTTACCACAGACTGTATAAAATTTAATGAGACTTTCACAGAATATTTATTACAAAGTGCCACAGTGCACCTCCTATTTTACATTTTGATGAGACACATACTTGGGGTTTCCCATAGCAAAACACAGAAAATTATAATCTTTCTATAAATCTCTTATTTGCAACTCCTCCTATATCACTGAATAAAATTTAATGAGAATTTTACAGAATCTTTATTTCAGAGTGCCACTATGCACCTATTTTACATTTTGATCAGACAAATATTTGGGCTTTCCCATAGCAAAACATGGACTCTGTCATCATACTCATATGGGAGTGGGAGGTATCATTTTATGAGTTCATTGCTCACAGTACCTCTAGTTGGATATAATTCCAAGAAAAATTTCCCCCAGGAGTTGAATGCAGATTATTTTTAATTAATGTATTTGGATGACAGGTTTTCTGTATTAATTAACAATATATAATCAGGCCTCTATTGTGTTCTATTGTGTTCCCAGGTGCCACAGGTATTGAGGACAAATTACAGGAAGGTGTACCAGAGACGATAGAAAAACTGAGGAAAGCAGGGATCAAAGTCTGGGTCCTCACTGGAGACAAACAGGTAGGGGCGGGGACAAACAATTGGAGGGACAGGAGACAAACGGGGGGGGGGGGGGGGCAGGGGAGAGAAACAGGTAGGGGAAGAGGGGACAAACAGGTAGGGGAAGAGGGGAAAACAGGTAGGGATGGGGACATACAGGTAAAGGGACAGATGTAAAGGGACGATTCAAGTCTTTGTCCTCACCAGTGATCAGGAGGTGCTGGGTCCAGAAAGGAATGTGAAGATGTGGGTGGCAATCAATCAGGTACAGGGGCAAGGGAAGGGGAGAACATGTAAAAGACAGGTCAGAATGTAGGCCTTGACTGGGGAGGAGAAATGTAAATAGAGATCTATAAGTTAAGAGGAAAGGGGAGGGAATGAAGACAAGTAAATGTAATGTGATAACTTCTACACATAGCATTATGAATGTAACCCTCTTTGTTTCAGGAAACAGCTATTCAGGTGGCCTATTCCTCTAAGCTGATTGGGCAGAAAGACCAGGTCCTCATTATCAATGCAGAAAATTTGGTGAGTTTAAATACAATGTCACATCTTTTTTGTAAAAAATATTTATAGGCATTATCCTGCACATTGTCAACATTGTGTAGATTGTAAAATCTTGTTCCTGTTGTCAGTATGGAGTCATAAACTAGGAAGGAGCACACATCTTAGTAAAATATAGACATAATTCATCCACTCTACCTAACATAGGAATCTTAACGTGTATTGAATTTTTAGGAAAAAATCGCTAAATTTGCGTCTCGTAAAAATTCCACTTATACGTTATAGCTGTGTTAAGTCAGTATAATGTGCCCATCATTACACTTTATAGCGTCTTCATTGCATATTAATTTTGTAGTTTGTTACTTTAAATTTATATGAAGCTAGATAAGGAATCTACATGTGTAAGTGAGAATTATACAGGTCATGTTACCTGATTTACCTACTCGTACATGTAATTTTTTCCAGACTTGTACAAAGGATCTCTTGGAACACCATATACAGCAGATCGAGAGGGACACAGGAGGAGGACAAACATCATCCTCCCCCCAGACAAAGAAGCAGGAGTACACCCTAGTGATCGATGGTCGTACCCTCGCGTACGCTCTCAATGAACAGCTGGAGGATTTATTTCTTGACCTGGCTCAGAAGTGCACCTCTGTTGTGTGTTGTAGATCCACTCCCATACAGAAGGTAAATTTATAGATCCACTCCCATACAGAAGGTAAATTTATAGATCCACCTCTGTAGTGTGCTGTAGGTCCACTCCCATACAGAAGGTAAATTTATAGATCCACCTCTGTAGTGTGCTGTAGATCCACTCCCATACAGAAGGTAAATTTAAAGATCCACCTCTAGTGTGCTTTAGGTCCACTCCCATACAGAAGGTAAATTTATAGATCCACCTCTGTAGTGTGCTGTAGGTCCACTCCCATACAGAAGGTAAATTTATAGATCTACATCTGTAGTGTGCTGTAGATCCACTCCCATACAGAAGGTAAATTTATAGATTCACCTCTGTAGTGCGCTGTAGGTCCCTCTCATATAGATGGTGAATTTATAGATTATCTATCCATATGATGAATTGAATTTTCGCAACAGACCCCTTTACTTGTGTAATTGCAGATATCAACCCACATTGGGGGAGAGGGGATCATTACTAGATACATGTACAGTACATTGCAGGGAGATCCAAATCAGTCAGATAGATACATGTACATTGACCTAAAGAGACACTCTCCACTTTTCTTTAGACTCATGTCCACATAGTGTTTTAGATCCCAAGTGTCATACACAGTCAATCCCCCACCCATCCCCCTTCAACTCACATAAATACATAACTGAGGAACCTTGTTTACATCATGGAGATACACATGTATTTGACTATATACACCTACAGCCATACATAGGAAAACTTATCTTCATGGTACAATTTAATTACATGTAATTTTAGATCTTTGCTCTTGCAAAATACAAGCATAGAATTCATTGTCTTGAGCAGTGAAGTGATATTTATACATTTTTTTTAATTAGTTTTTGTCTTTTAAAAAGATGATTATACATCTTAGGTGGTAATTATATTTGCTTTGTGATGTTATATGTATGGTGTTTGAATAATGACTACTTCAATATATCTGCTTATTTTTCAGGGCTCAGTAGTCAAGATAGTTCGAGACAAGCTGAACAAGTTAACACTGGCAATAGGTCTGTATTCTTCTACCAGGAAATGAGTCCTGTATATTTATGTGAAAATTTTCTAGATAACATCATGAAAGTATTCTTTATATGAATCTTTTCTTTAAAAACAGAATCTGTGATGACATATCAAAATAGAATTTGTTCAACCTACATGTACAGTGTAGATAATGGAACTTGTGTGATAAATTTGACACACAAGTGAATATGTGATATACGATATGTGTGTTATATTACATGTGTGATATAATACATACAATATGTGTGATATATTACGTGTGATATAACCCATACGATACGTGTGATATATTGCATGTGTGATATAACACATACAATATGTGTGATATATTGCATGTGTGATATAACACATACAATATGTGTGATATATTACATGAGTGATATAACACATACGATACGTGTGATACAGGTGATGGAGCCAATGATGTCAGCATGATACAGGTGGCGGATGTCGGGATTGGGATATCGGGACAGGAAGGCATGCAGGCTGTGATGGCGTCAGATTTCGCTATTTCTCGTTTCATGTTTCTCCAGCGTCTCCTCCTGGTTCACGGACACTGGTGCTACTGTCGTCTCGCACGATTCTCATCATTCATGTTCTATAAAAGCTTGGTAGGTCTTCATCTTGGGTCTAATTTTTTTCTAATTAAAAAAATACATATGAAATTTATATAATGCTAAATTGAGTTTTCATGTAATGTGAATATTTAATTATCAGTTTCATGTAAACTCTTTTAATATTAGTGAATGTTTTTTTTGTACACAATTGTTTTTGAGTTATCACATGTTTGAAATTTTAATTTTTGGAATACAGATCCGATAGAAATAATGTCTCTTAAGAAATGACACAAATTTCTAACACACTGATCAATTCACAGGAGACTTTTTTTTCTCATTTACCAGGCATGCATTTTGCATGTTGATTATGCATAAAATAAACTGATTTGTAACAATTTATAATCTGTCTGTCTGTTAACATTAAATGGTTGAGTAATCTTATAATTCAAACACATTGTATCTCTCTGATGCTAGCACCAATAATTGACCACATTCAGTCATGGATCATTTAGTCAGAATCATTTAGATTTACATCGTATTAAACCTGTAGTTCTCAATAAACCTTGTGGTGGGATAGATGCTTTTGAAAAATCCAACTTTTACATACAGTATCCATTTATCTTGAGAGAAAGCAAAACAGAATTGCTGACATATTGTAACTTGATGCTAAAGTAGTTAGTTATTTTGCTTTAGATTTATAATTCCAGATTTTAAAAGACAAGAGGAATTAAAATACATGTATATAACACTTAACTGTAAAATAAGCTAAGAATGTAGATTGTTCATTTTCAATGGATAGAGTTTATTCCATGTATTTTAACAATAAACAATTAATATATAAGTACACCTGTACATGTACTGTTTATCACAGTTTGTTTGCAAGGAGTTAAATATAACTTGAATGATATAATTGATATTGCCCGATATTTATTCAGAAATTGTGTGTGATGAGTTGCTAGATTTTCACATATAATCCTCATTCATTCTAACCAGGTTCTAGGGTAGAGTTATTCTCCTCTCGAGTGACATTCTATCAACACAGTGAAAGAGGTCACCTCTACTGTTGCACTTAATATCACTTTCTGTATAGAAAATTATACAATGTCCACGATTAAAATAGGAACCACTTACATGTATAACGAAGTATTCAATTATTTTTAATTTAATCAAAGGTTTAAGTGCAGCAGTAAGTGAAGGTAAATTACTTTGTACTCTGATTACTGTTATGGGGAGATAACTCTGGCCTGTGATCTGTAGTGCATTTTTTAACCCTCATCTCGTCTGTTTCTAGATCAGTGTATTAGTCATGTTTTGGTACCAGATCTACAGTGCGTACTCGGGATCGATGCAATTTGACAGTCTTTACACCATGCTCACACATGTAGTCTTCTGTGCATTTCCTCCGCTGGTGAACGGGGTCTTAGACAAAGATTTGTCTTCAGAAACTCTCCTCAGATTCCCTCATATCTACAAAATGGGCATTGATGATACGGTAAATACTGCACTGCTTTATATAATCATTGTACATTAAACATGTTTGTTTCCTCATTGATTTTAGGGAATCGAATTCACGATGCTCTGGTTCCAGCTCTATAGTGGATACTCGGGCTCGCTGCAATTCAACAGTCTCTTTTTGCTGTTTATCCATGTCTTATTCACGGCGTTTCCGCCAGTCATTAATGGCGTATTTGACAAAGACTTAATGCCCTCCACCCTGTTACGCTTCCCCGAGGTTTATAAAATGGGGATTGAGGATAAGGTAACCCTGGTAACCTCTTGCCTGCCGTAGCCATTTTTCTTGGAGTTTTTGAAGTGTATAACTTGCTGTGAGGAATGTAGAATGTCTAAATGGCCTCCATTTTATGTATAACATGAGAATGTCCTTCACGTCTCTCAGAATGATGAATTAAAACTCTAAAAATATATGTATTAATCTAACATTTACATGAATACATGTGTTACGCTGCATGGAAAATTTTCCAGTGTTTGTGTATGTAATATCACAATTAGACATTTATTTATAAAAAGCTTACAGTACTCTGAATACAAACATATTGAAGTTCATTAACACTATTCATAGCAATATAGTCAGCTATAAGGAAATTGGAGGTCAGATTGAATTACATAACTGATATTCCAAGGTCAAAATTCCTTCCAAAAGCTTAAAGGTGATAGGCATTGGAAAAGAAATTCTATATATATATGCTTTATATTTATTAGATAGACACTATGCCAGTTGGGAGCTTTGCATTATAAGTCTGATATTGAACCTAAGCTGGTTTAGGAGGGTTGTATATTAGCTGTATATTATAGCTGCTTAGTTTAGAAAAACAGATAAGG